GTGCTATGCCTGAAAATCCCCTGAGTATAATATGTTATCCCTGGGGTACATCGGTACTATGTTACCCCCAAGACTAAAGTATTATTCTGTGGTACACATATAATCATCCAAGGGTGTTCCAATATCAACCCTAAAGTACAGTATATTGTCTCAATGCAATTACTATGAATGGATAGGGCTAAATATTCGTGTTGTATACTGTTCAGTATCCTCTTCACCAAAAGGTGCTTAAAAGCATGTCCCCTTTTAAATGTCTATATGCAAAATAATGAGAGCACTTAATGAGGTCAACCTGGCAAGGTCATCATATCATGAGTAAATTGAGGATATATAATATGTCGGTTTTTTAATAAGGCAGGCCTACCAATGCCAATAGCCACTTTAGAATGTTACACCAAGGACCAAACATCTATGTAATATACCAAGCTCCTAGGAAGAGTACTATATTCCACAATATTGTGGGTAGTAATTAGTGTATTATTAGTGTTCAAACCTACAGTTATCTATACCCTCGAGAGGCTTAGTAGCTGTTAAAAAGTAAAAGTAGCACATTCATAGCAGTGAATACCTACAACTGGAATAGCTGCTACTTAAGTAATGGAACGTCATGTTCCAAGTAAATTGCTGTGTTTTGTTTCACTGGTTGACTAAACATTGATCAAATGTAATAAAAACGAAACATCCAATACCAGAGCAGGTCTTTTGTCTGAGCAAGAAGGTGAAAGATTTAAGTGCTAATGTATTTATACACCTCCATGACCCAAGAATCTACTGTATAACAACATAATTAAAAGTGCACAAGCTTAATGAGGAAAACATAGAACCTCCGCCTGGGTTGACTTTCATAACCTGTGGCACTACAACAACATACTCCTTGTAGTGATTTATTAAGTCAAAAGTACCAGCCTAAAACTAATGCTACTAAAACTGTAGCAACAGGGCAAGAAAAACTTGAAATATTGATCATTATTCAATACCTAGACACAAAATTGGAACACAAATGGAAAGTATTTAATTCTGTAGACAATCAACCTTGGATTCTATAGGATAGTATGTAAAATATAGAGTAATAAATTAAATTGGCGTTTACTGTAAACTGTCTTACATCATGAAACAGTTTTACATTTTAAGTTTGTAATGTAAGGTAAACATCAGCAATGTTTAAATGGATGATAATTAACAAACATGATCTTTTTTAAATACAAAAGCATGATCTGAGAGTAAGTTTGGCCATAAAAAGATGTAAAAAAACATTTTTATATTCATCTAATCATAATTAATATAATATATATAGAGCGCTTAATACAAAACAAGCTTCTAAGCTCTTTACACCAAATGAACACGAGAAATGGAATGAAACCATAAAATATCCCAATAGTAACCAAAAATGCAAAATAAATGCAGAGGAACCATTTTCACCACTCTGTTCTCAGTTCTCCTGAACTTACAGGCGCTTGAGTGAAAATGGGGTCAGACTATCTTATCTTACCAACAAAAAAATTTGTAGAGTGAATTTTGAGAAAAAAGATGTCAATCAGATTCAATCAGTTTAAACAAGAGCAAAGTAATTTGTAAAAAGATTTCTATAGCGCATATTAAAGCAAAAAAAATACTGACTTGTCACCGGCATTGGAAAGTGTTTCTCTTATCAATATCTTCATCATGCAACCTTATCATTATTATCCATTATTATTACCATGATTAACAGCATCAAATGTGAGGTCTCACTACAAAATGAGTCTCATCGTTAGAAAATCAAAAAATGAGTTAATATTACATTTTGGTAGACCACATTATAAGCTTTAATTTGGTCTTTGTTACAGAATATGTGCAGAGAACAATGTTTTAGTAAGAAAATTCACTTAAAAAGTACACAATCATAAAATATGAGTATCAATCAAAAACATTAAAATAAAAATTTTGTAAAAATGTTGCCTTTGACCTATTTTGGTGAATATCTCAATATGATTTCACCAACGATGCGTCTCATTTCGTGGTGAGATGTCACAAATAGTGATGATAATTCTAATGTATATGTTCTTATATCAATAAGAAAAAGTATTATATTATATGAATAAGAAAAAGCATACTGTAAAAGAAGTTTTCATATGACCCTGTGATGATTAATAGTGCAGACGTCATATCAATTACTGTGTACAAGTGTGTGCATAGAAAATGAAGTTGGTTTATTTGTAAATTAAGCAGGCACTCTTCAGCACCACTTGGTGCGTCGACTGATGGCAGATGAGGGTAGCTAGCTGCTGTGTTGCCTCTGGCCACTAACCATAAAAATTGAAACAGCAATGGTTGATCATTAACTACACAACTCTGCATTTACCATAAAAAGGGAGAGAGCAAATCTCATTTCTGTAATTGATTTCAAAATCAGAGCCTGCTCCAGGAACAATGTAAGTAAACTTTTTGTACAGAAACTAGTTTTCGAAAATCTTTCTTTGCTTTTATTTATAATGATGGACATACTTCTGTAAATTTCATAGTGTTTTATTCTAATGGATTCATGTGTTCTTTGACATTATAAAATCCTTATTCTAGGTTGGAGCAATAAATCAACAAGTGGATAAATATTTCATATGCAGTTAAAATTTGTGGATGCCTCAGGAGTTCATGAATGCATCATTTTTAAGGTGACTTAGTATATAAGGGTTGTAAAGTTTAATAAATACAGTAAGCATTGTTAAACAAGAAATGCAGATCATTGTATATAAACACTATATACAACAAACAATACAACTTAAACAGAATATTAAAACATATTTTATTATTATAAATATTTCACATTGTTTAAATAGTGCATTCCCCTATAGAAATTATTACAAATCAAATACAGGTTTCCCTCCAATTAAAGACCACTTTGGGACCATTGTTTCTGTGGTCTTTAGCAGCTTTCGGTCTCTAATTAGAACAATGAAGATAAAAGATATTTGTTAATTTGGGACCTCAGAAATGTTGTCTTTAATTTGAGGTGGTTTTTAATTGGAAGGGTCTTTAATTAGTAGACATGTATTGAAATGCTATGTTTATAACATTTTTTTATATTTAAGGAAATATTTGAAAATGATGGCAAAAAACATCATCATTGTTTGTAGGACAATGGATCCAGAAACATTTCCTGCATTGCACTTTTCCCACATGGCAAGGCCAATATGGTGGGAAACTTTCGCAGAAATGGAGCAAACAACTAAGCAACAAGGACATGATTTTAAAAGTATTACTAGCTAAACACAACAGTGAGTGGAACATGATTTTGAATTCTACTAGCCTACTACAATATGATCTTGAGATGTTGGTACACTATGCAACCTGAAGGTGTCGAAGGGAGACTAGCATCTAAGACAATGTCCAATATGGAGGGCAAGGAGATACTCGCATGATTTTCTTGGCTTCCTTATTGGTCAATGTCGTGATAGCACTAACAACGTTTCCTGATGGTGGCAGCGAAGAGAAATCCAGAATTGAGTGTGTCACAGAAGAGCTAGGAAGGGGGTGAGGGAGAAGTCCAGATGTAAAGATTCGGTAGGTTTGCTAGGAAGAGGGAATTAGTGAGGATAAGTCTAAAATTTAAAGTTTCATGGGGCTGATAGGAATGGGGGAGGGTGAGGCATCTAGTGAGCGGAGGTCCAAAATTAAATGTTCATAAGGCTGCTTGGATGGTATAATGTAGCTAGTGTGAAGGAAGTCCGGAATTCAAGGTTCAATGGGGCACCACAGAAAGGGAAGTCTTAGGCTACTAATGAAAGGAGGTATAAAACTCATGTTTCATGGGTCTGCTAGTGAGGTGAAGTCCAGAATTGAGGACATGCAGTTACATTACATATCCTGCTGTACTTAAAGCTGGACATCCTCTTGCTAAGCTCTCACACCTTCTCATGATAAATCTAAGGCTACTGAGGCTAAAGATGCTGGTAGCACTTGGCACTCTTCATCGAACTTGTGATCATAGTCATCTTACAGCATTTGGTGTACTTCAAGGAACTCCATCCTGGTGTATTGGATGGGTACAGTCCAATTGAGAGGATCTCCAGAAGTATTGCATTACTGGATATCACTTGATTGAACAATACCGATGCCAATCATTACAGCACTGACAACAACCAGACATTTTTTATTACCACTACCAATGAAACATCATCATGAAGACGAAGACCGCAGATGGATTGGTACAAAGAGGGACCAAGTTTAAGACCTATTAATGCCTGCTTCTTGTATCCTTGGTTAAAACATTTCGCTATAGAAAACCTAATTTTTAGATGGGGCATGTTCATACACAAAAAATAACATATTACACTAATAGAGTAGACAATTTTCTCCTAATGTAAATGGTAGATTTTTTATGGCAGCCACAGATCTACAGGGCCAAATCAAAATTTCCTTATTGGTTTCTACACCATGTACATTGGCATACACTTCACGTTACATTTATTAGTATTACTTTTAGTATTACTTATTTTTTTTATTTTATTTTAAAGACAATTAACCAAAATGGTTTTTTTTCTTCTAATGGTTTGCACTGATTACAACATAGAGCTAAGTAACATTGTAGTTTTTCAATAATTAACAAATAAAAAAGAGGAATGGAAAAGCATGGTTTATGGTGATTTATCAAGAGGGGAAAAAGATGAATGTAAAGCAACATTAATACTATATACATGATGGCACAAAAAGAGAAGACCTATTACCAAAGACGGGGCTATAGACATTTAGTGAGCAGAATGTCAGAAGCTTATGACACTTGGTCAACTTTTATATACATGCAATACCATTGCACTAAAAAATACATGTTAGTTTATGTTGACACCAATAATGAAGTTTTAAAAAAAAAAACCAAAACCTTTATTTAACAATTATACACAGATTTTGTGTGTTAAAGCTAGCTGTTTTTAACACACTTTTACAGATATTGTGTTTACAAATTGATGCATGCAACTAAACACAAAGTAGGATTTCTTCCCCACTACTTATCAATTATAAAGCACTTATCATAATGCTGAGCTGTTTACTGTACTATACATTGCAACATTGAAAAACAACCTAACAACCATCTATTATTTTTTACCTTACATTTGTTATTCACCAATAAAATGTTATTTTTATTTCTTTCTTTAAAGGAGAAAAGTTTAATATTTAATTGTCTGTTTTTCCCTGACATAGTCTCAATCATTTACGACATCACTGACTTAGTTAATTTGAAACCATGTATCTGGACTTTAATGTCTGCTCTGTTTGTATAGTCTCCTGATGAAGTCCACTATGTGGAGAAAAGCTAGAGTTTTTAAGTTAATCTTTAAAATACTGAAATTTTGTTCTATAGCAGATTAACACAACTACACTTTTTATCACCATGCTCTGAATGCGTTTTTATTTATGTTTTTTTTAATTTCAGTGAATGTTATTTTGTTTTCTCTTTTATATAATGTATTGTTCAACTTTACAAAGAAACATTTCATATTTGATATTGATATACATGTTACATATTAACCAAATATTTATAACAACAACATTTTTAATGCTTAAACACCAGCATTATTATTAAACTTGAAATGAACTATTTCAGTCAGATTTTGATTAATAATTCTAACAATTTCAGGGTCACCAATTAACAACCTCCATTAAGTTTCTAGGGCGATTCATTTTTATGGACACTGTTACTAATTAATCTTTATCTGTATCATTCTATTGTTGAAGATTTTTTTTACGTTTTACTGTACGGTTGTTGCAGTATATTTCTCAAAAGTAAGTCTCCCTTTTTCAATCAATCAACCAATCAGTAAGTGGAAGATGACAACTTTTATGTGGTCCACCTTGTTTCTACTAATGATGTCAAATCCTTGTAACTTTGTGAAATTTTACTCAATTTAGCCACTCGCTACAACGTAAATTAATGATGTTGAATAAAATCCTTGAATGAAATGAATTAACGGCAGCACAACAAAAAATATTTGTCATAAGCAAGAAGAAGTAAATTAATCAATAAATCAGTTGAAAGAAATTGTATAGTGCCAAAATCCATCACGCAACATTAATTTATGTAGAATACAGACAGTGCGATATAAAAACACTTTGACAATGACAAACTGTATGATTTTGAGGCATGGTAGTAGCAAGTTCAGTGACGCTTGGTAGAAGCATGCACTCATGGAAGATTTGCATTGCATTGTTTGAATTGGCACTTATCATCAGCCTACATTAAGATGATATGCCCTGCTAACTACTTCCTGGCAATGTTTCCCAGGCTGTTTTCGTCAAACTGACCATGATTAGTTTAATGAAAAATTAAGTCAAATTTGAACAGGTTTAAAGCCCTATCCAAACTATCCAATTTTATTTGACAAAAAACAGTTGTAAGCCCATATAGAGGCATAAAGGTACAAGGTAGGAGAATAACCCATAACTTGCAGCGTCATTGTGCTAAATTGCGTATGGGCGTGGTCCGTGACTACCTAGCAGCCGTAAAGAGGCGCTCCTTGGTAGATACATGTTCACATCATTCCACAACGACAGGGGCTGAAATGAACCATAAACATCGGGGTAACCCCCTACTCTTCCGAAAGATGCAATGGGTTCTTTAAAGTGCACACGAGCCAGATGTATACACTGGACCTCCATTTTAAGTCCTTATCCGAGAAGACTTGGTTCTACCAACCGAACCATGGGGAGGAGCGGCTGGGACCAGCGCTGATGTTAAGGCTGTAGTTAGCGGTGCCCCTGCCTTACCGCTCGGCCACTAGACTCGCCAAAATTTTAATGATGTTGTGATGTCATCATGACCATATTATAGGCATTATTTATTTAATTTATTTCAACAATATTTTGTGAGGGTAGCCCATCCAGCCAGAGCTGATGAATTGGGAGCCTAAGTACTGTACACACATTTAAAGACAAAGGAATAAAAGAAGGCATGTCACATGATTTTATCAAATAAACTTTGATAGTCTGGACAGGTCTTTAGAGCATAAAATTATTAAATTTAAAATAATAATAATAATAATAATAATATAGGAATTAATAATAATATAATTAAATATTATTATTATTAAATAATTAATAATTATTATTATAATCAAAATTATTATTAATAATATAGAAATTTATTTAAGAGGCCCTTGTATATCAGCTGATTTCCTGGGCTTAGCTGGAATAGTAATCCCCATAAATATGGTTCAAATAAAAATAAAATAGCAAAAGCAAAAGAATGTCCTACCTCCAAATTTTTGGTGAAGACTAAAAATTCTAAATATCTTATTACTGCCTTAGGGTATGAATGTAGAAAGGCTATGACATCATCGGGTCGTAGACGTTCACTTGATGTCTCTGTTGCTGGCCTTTCAGTAAAAACCTTTAATACAAATGATGCATAAATATTAATATTTTGAATAAATCAACAAACATTTAAAGATATATTGTTGTCTGTACTGAATAAATGAACTTAGAACAGTAAAATTCAATTTGAATTTGTTTAAATTCATAATGTATAAGTAATTTTTTTTTTCTATAATTTGAAAATTAGAACAAAAGCAGGGGTACATAGGTTGGTTGAAGCTACCTCTGGCAGATCTGTTTAAATAAGCTTTTTTAACACCTATAATTTTGTTTCATGCATTACATTTGGTCAGCTCCCTTCAAAACGAGAACTGATAATACAGTAGCAAAAATATGCAAATATCATGAATTTGTGGGGGTGGGGCAGTTTCTGGGAGATGGGCACTTCTTGCAAGAGAGTAGGAGGCTGTTCCAATATTTGGGCGACTCCTGCAACCTGCCCAAGGCTTGGGACCCCATCAGAGTAGGTGATATTTACCTTGACAGCCTTATCCTGGTCTTTTGTTAACGCCCAATCAACATGCCTCCACAGTAATTCATGGTCACTTAATCTACATATATAAAACAATTTTCACAAATTAACACATATGAATCACTGAAAATCAAAATCACCCACATGCATTTAAAAAACAAAGTCATATTATATGAACACATTAATACAGTGGCAGCACATCCAAATGTGCTGCCAGGGGCACAGGGCTGTCTTTTATTTTGGGGTAGAAAGAAACCATTTTGTTTTAGGTACACTGCTTTGAAAAAGCATTTTTTACAGTCTGAGAGTGCCATTTCTTTGTATATTTTGCATACCATTTTCGCAATCCCATCTTCGTAAACTATTTGAAGACAACTGTTGAACTGTTGTGTTTTTTAAATAATTATTTATTTAATACTGTAAAATCTACTTACACTGACATAAAGTCAATCACGAAGTCAAACCCAGGGAAGCTATTGTCTTGTAGCTGGCCATCGACTAGCCTGAATATAAAAAACAGAGAAAATGAATTGTAAGAGAATTTAGATAATGGGGAAAAGCTATTTGAATGTACTCCATAGAAATTGTGTTTTACCAAACAATATACTTTAACAATATATAATGGTACTTAAGTGCTAACAGGGCTAAACATCATGGACACATCACAGTGCTATAAATGCCCCATTCTGGCAGTATTGTGCAGTCTTTAAATTTAAAGCCCATTGTTTCACCGCATACAGTATGCAATGACAAATGATTAGACTAGAATCTTTGAATGAAAGGATTCAAAGTCACATTAACACTGTAGTAGTCTTAGAACTAACATATCATCGCTCACATGACAAAGAAGATGCACAAATGTGATGAGTATGAATCTAGTATATACAGTACTAAGAAAATCTAGAACTTAAAAGGTTTAAATTTGAAGTCAATGATGATACAGTCAAACATTTCAAACATCTACAGTAGTTTGGGGCTGTACTCATATTTTGGAGAATTAAACAAACCATAGTTAGTACTCCCTAACATATTTAAAACTCTGTGACATCACAAGTGATGGATCGTGGAAGTAATTTGGCACAGTGAAATGGTTTGGTTTCCAAACCTTGAGGTTGGGGTTTCAATCCTTTCGCTCTGCATTTCGCCTGTGTCCTTGAGCAAGGCACTTTATCTACACTGTTTCAGGGTGAGTTTTTTGTGGAGTCTAACACAGTATAAATCTGGAAATGGCCATTTCCAGTTCTCGACCGAATGGGTGTGAAACGCGGACCATCTGCTAATATCCGCTGATAATCCAACGTGGCAAATTGCAGTATTTTGGAGGAGCAATAGCAGCATGCTTTAGCATCAGGGAGCATTCTTCATCACTTAATCCCTTTTTGATTGCTCTTTAATTGTTTCAAAATGCACCAGAAGTAAAGTCTGTTTAAATTTTCATTGTCCCTGCTTCTTTTACAATTTAATTCCAAACACAAAACTGAAAAACTTGATAAAATAAATTATTTCAACGGAGTGTTAGCCTAGAATCTAGATTGTTACCATACGTCCGCTGCATGCATACGTGATCATGGTACCACTGCTTATTCGTTTAGTAGTAAATTTCTGTTTTATACTACCATTTCCAAACAAATGAAAGTTTATTTTGGGTTTATACGCCCAAAATGCACACCTGCGATTTATTGGGAGTTTTCAACGTAGGCCCTATGCTCTATGAAGCTTATCGTTGTAGCTTCTTCGGTATTTCATTACTTGATTTTGAGACAACATTATGCAGTGTACTAACGCCAATATCCGTTTCTTAATTAAAGCGTGGGGCGACGCGAGGGTCCAAGGAAACTTGGTGAAACTCATCATTTGCATAATACATAAGGTCTTACGTCAGAGGTTAATTGATTCTTTTTTGAAAGCCGAGTTCTGCACGAACGGGTAGACCACCCACGAATACAATACCGGTAACAACCCTATGTAAGTTTTTCCCCTTTTTGCCTGAACACACCTTTAGTCTACCCAGCTGGGTGGACTAGTATCCCACCCAGTGGGAATACAGTATTACACTCTCATCCGCTTCACGCTACAGAAACTAGGAATAAGCCCCAGCCCTATGAGCCCTATGGCTTGGCAAGATTTACTACTATATGACTTCACAACACTTACTTGACCCATATCTGAAGAGCACTTTCATTATCTCCATGGTAACGACTGAGAGTGGCAAGGGCATGGTGGCATTTGTTCTTTTCTAGTATACTAAAGCTATCTTCAAGTTTGCAGGAATTTTCTGTTGACACTAACTTCTGTAGCTTTATGAGGTCACACTCTGCATAGAGTTTCATTAGTGTAGTATCAACATCCTATAAGGATAAATTATGATAGAAATTAAGTCATTAATTTATTATTTATTTTAATTATAATTTATCTACAAAAAAAACAATATAAGAATATAATCTATACATTTCTTTGAATTTCTTTAACTTTCACACTAACCTTTAGTGCAGCAGGAAACCATTACTATGTTTACATGACGGCATTTGCTAAAATTTGTGTTTTAATTTGTTTTATTTTCATTTACCTAATACAGCTACTGTATTAACTTACTTATTGGCAAGTAGTGTTAAAATTTAAAGTGGAAAGTAATCCCTTGGTTAATCAAGTGTCCATCTATCTTCTGACTTATTAGATTGATTTAAAATGACATGCAAATTAATAAATTGCTTACCTCTTTCATACCAATTGTGAGAGGTGTTCCTCTAACATTTTCCAGGAAGGTGATAAGGAATACTTTACATTCGGCAAGTTTAACTTTATCGCTGCGAACAATTTGTTTAATATCAGCGAAGTCATGGAGAGGTGGAAGGCTGCGGTTGAAGCTTGTACTGCCCGGGAGAAGGTTTGGAAACAAGCTTATTAACTGAAAAAAAGAAAAGAAAATGAAGCAATGAACTTTCAATTTATAGATTATGAAACCATACATTATATCATACAAATGTTAACTGCTTTAAGGGATATGGTTTAAACAAGGTGATCTTGAGACTGTATTATGCCACAAAAAAAGTTGAGGAGATGTGATGCAATGGATATTTCTAGGGTGTCAATCAAACTAAAAAACTGACCAATCAGAACATCCAAGATACAATATTATTTTATTGTCACTTAGTACACAAAATACAAGTAAAATTTGTCTTCCCGATGCAAAATTAGTAAACAAATGGATATAAAATATTCGAAGGACATAAATAAAACAGAATATACAATATGATACAATTATTTACGAGAGTGAGTTAGTCTATCTATTAAAATCAGCACTGTACATGTTGATTGAGTTATGAATAAACAATCTTCTTAATTTGTTTGTATTGCACTTTATTGGACCTTATTGGCCAGGAATATGCACTTGTCAAAAGAGTTGATGACATAATTAATGAAAAATAATAAATCCCAAAATGATGGCATGTATTTCAACACTTGGAGCATGCATTATACTTTCTTATCAAGAGATGTGTTTTCCAGAAAATTCACAAGTTTGTGTACATTTATGCTGTCGCTGTGTGGGACCTACGTAACGATATCCAAGAGGCCGGCCTTAGTGGATGGTCTATTGAAAAAATATTTAACTTACTGCAATGCTTTCAACATATCAGATGCTTAGGATGTATGTATGTGGTATAGCCTATATTTTTATATTAATTTTGACTGTGTAGTTAGCTATAATGACTAGAAAAAATTGGAGTTTATTACCTCCCTGACATCAAGTGCTCCATCCTTAAATAACTGTGATGCTTCTTCGAATTCATATTGAGCTAACTTGATAAACCCTGCTTGTTGTTGAATACGAACATACATCTAAAAATTTAATGAGAAAAAGTTTGGTTTTAAAAAAAATTATTATTCATTCTGTCTAATATCATCATGATCTTAATAATAATCATATTCTTAATCACTATGTTAAATCATAATCACCATCAAGTTGATCATTATTATTTAATAATCATCTAAATCATACTCATCATCATTATCATCATACTTTTTGTAAGATTGTATAAGACTACAAATATATCTATAAATAGTTCCATCTGGTTTCCTTCTAACCTACTGTATGACTGATAAATTTTGTATTATCAAAACAAACTATATATAACATATATTCACTTTCTAAGATTGCAAAAAACCCAAATCATCCCCTACACCCCTTAATTCCCCCACACCGTAATTGTTCCATCTCTCTTAGAAACTCCCACCATACCTAATTTCTTTGATTTTCTGGTCGCTCACTGAGGTTCTTGACATATTTCTTTCCTCATGCAATTGAAATGGCAATCAACCTAACCATTGACCCTTTGTTTATTTCCCCCATTGAGATTAAAATTAAATTAGGCATTCGTAACTACTAATGTATTAGTGTTGATTTTGTATTGCTATTTGTTATGAGTAGATAATAGCCCTCGATGGCTTTCAAAACAATAAAAATCTTGAATATTAAATATATATATATATATATATAAAACAATGTGCATTTTTTTTTATTGATTTAAAAAGTTAAAATGCTTACCCTTCTAAACATTTCTTTACTTAATCCTGTTTTTCTTGCATTCTTTGCCAGTGTTAGTGCTTCTTCTACCCTCTTATCTGCTAACAGAGCTGAGATCTAAAAAAAAATGAAGTCACATCAGCACCCACAATAGCCTTAACATTAATGCGGGTTCGAGCTGCTCCTCGTCCAGGGTTCCGTTGGTAGAGCCAATTTTTCTTGGGTAAATGAACACCTGGCAGATAAAGGAACTCACTGCATCTTTCTGAAGAGTAGGGGGTTACCACAACGCTACGGTTCATTTCGGCCCTTGTCGTGAAATAATATTAACATGTAACTACTATACGTGCCTCTTTGTGGCTAGGAAGTCACAGACCACGCCACAATTAAGTACAATGACCCTGTGAGATGTGAGTTATTCTCCTACCTTTACTTCTATATAATAGGACATGCACATGAAAAATAATTTACTATACTATTAAAAATATGTATGGGATTGTCTCCTGGTGTACTGATCATGGTTGGCACTGCACTACAACAGCTGCAAATCCTGAGGGGCCTATTCCACAATTCCTGGTTGATAATCCCCAGGGGCCTTATTCTAAATTCCTAGTTGATTTTCAACAAGAACCATATAATGGATAATGTAGATGTTGACATTTTAAAAAGTTTAATAGGACAAATATAGTATAACTTCATGATTTTTGCTTCAACAGTTTAGGAAAATGTACACTTGGGTTGTAGTTTTTTTTGGTTATGCAAACTTCCAAACACAATAATTAATATACTATCATCATCAGTATTACCACTTTGTCAATCGTCTTCCTCACAGGGATCCAATTTGGAAGAAATCTCTTCTGTTAGATCTGGTTAAATGAGCTTCCTTAAACATATTTAAATTTATTTTGCTGTGCATGGTGACAACCATCGGCACTGACTTCCATGAGACAATTTATAATAAAGTAGTAAAAACATGCAAATATTATGAATTTGCAGGAGATGGGTAATCTTCCGGGAGATTCTTGCATGCTTGCAGGAGTACGAGAGGCCGTCCTAATTTCCAGGAGACTTCTGTGGAGGATTGGAACGCCTATCATCACCACAATTAAAATACCAAAAACAACTGACTGTTACCTGCTTTTCAACTGGTAATGGCACCAATGAATATACTTCTTTACTGGATGCTATATATATTTTGCCATCGTAATCCCCTAGAATTTTCCCACCAGAAAATGGAATAGTCTGTTTTTGCTGTTGGTCTAGGACACTGAGAGAGAAGGAAAACAATAAATATTGTCAACCACATTCAAAGGTTATCTCCAGGAAAGGATTGAAGAAATAGACTCTCAGAGTTTAATTTGAAAGTTTTTTCCCCACTTTAATTTTATTATCAACAATTAAAAGGCAGCCAGGGCTGATTGAGCACTCTTGAATCGGCCTCTGCCAATGAATAATTATGGTTTGAAGCGCAAGTTTAAAACATGTATATATATATACCACTGAGGAAGGACTAGTGTTGTTCGAAAGCTCTGGTTCTATTTCTGGCTGTTTACTTACGTTTACTTTTTAGCTGTTGCTTATCATTTTTGTATCTCTATTGAGATCCAGCCCTGTCTCTTATACACATCTAGATGTGTATAAGAGACAGGTATGGGACTTCAAGCTAAAGTGTCCGTCACTATAATCATTCCTAGCCATCTTAGGTTATTTTACAATTTGTTTGTTATTTCTACTGTTTATACTATGTAAATTGTATTGTACACTTGTTTGGGTAAATAAAGAATAAATGAATGAATGAAAATGAGGAAAAACAAGAAAAAAAAGAGAAAAAGATATCTGTGCTTACCTATGTACTGTTAAAAACTCATCGTCTAAAGCAACGATATATGGAAATGCGTAGCAAACACCACACACAGATTCAGACCACTTCAAAGGAGGGCGCTGTGACATCCCAGCTGATGTTACAAACATTCCCAAAGCACCTGGCCCAGATAGTAGAAACTCCTCCTACAAAATAAAAAAAAAAATGGATTTATCGATACACTTTTATTTTGCCCTCCACTTATAAATTGATTCCTTTACATTCTTTACTGTGGATCTATAAATACCAACACATATGTACTAAACAGGATTAAATATTAATAATGTGGGTTATAAAAAAAAGAAGAAAAAAGAGATTCTGTAGCTTCAGTTATCATAACTATAAACAACATAATTTTAAAAGCAGGAGAACACCACAATTAAAATGTACCATCTCATTTTTTTAGATTAATCACTGTAGGTTTTACCTTGCCTACTCTTTTCACAACTGGAGCTGAAGTCTCGTGTTCATATGGAAAGAGGTCAGTAACCTGCAAAGTGTTACTGTCGACAAGGCAGTACTCTGTTGCCATGGCAACACAGACACAGTAGCGATCCATACTCTATAATAAAAGATATTATTAACAATATTATTAACAATAATTATAATTATTATTATTATTATTAATAATTATTATTATTAACAATATTATTATATAAGGTTTAAAAATTTGATATAATGTAGAAGCTAATGTACGAACATGCTTAGCTTGAAATTATTTTAGTAGCTTTCAGCATTAATACAATGACTTTTATGCACTTTGATTTTAATGTTATATAATCAGTGACCTCCAAGCTAAGTATATTATTTTACTCATAAATGCTTAGGTAAGTTCTTACCATTATAACTGGTGTATCAGGTATTGTTACTTCTTTCATTAAGTTCATCTTATCTTCCGTGATGCTGTACAGCTGGATGCATTTCTTACGTGTTGCTACACAAACCTCAATTGCAAAAGGATTACTACTTGTTGGGTTCTCATTAACAGTAAATGATGTCACCTGTATAAGAACATTAAATGTGTTATAATATACAGCATTTGATTGCAATACGATATTAATGACAGTTCAAATTATTAATAATGCTAATAATAATAGTAATTACAATGATGATGATGATGATGATGATGATGATTGGAGATGATGATGATTGATGATGATAATGGTGATGACAATGAACGATGATGATAACAATGATGATGGTGAAAATTAATCATGATAAATTCTAATGATGATGGTTATAATGATGATAAAAATGATGATGATGGTGATAAATGATGATAGTAATAATATAGCTTAACTTAAATAATGATAATCATGATGTTGATAATAACGACCATGATAACGATTATGATGATGATTACAAGGCTGATAATACAGGCCTATAGTGCTTCATCAGATATTAACCTATGATGTACATTAACAGTAACAAAGGTATCAAAAGTAAATACTGTACTGTAATGATGATACCAGTGATGATAATTACATTAAAGCATATTACATACCCCTTTAATCTTGGCTCCAGAGAGTATTGGTTCCAGATTGAACATATTAAGTAGAGTAAGTACATTATCACAAAGCACCAAGATCCTGGTCAATGCTGAGGCCGCCTTCAACTGGGCAATAGGCTTCCTCTACAAATAGTAAATCATTGCAACAATTTAAACACAAAAATGAAGATTTCTACAGTATTGTACAGTTCCAGCCTTCAACTGGGCAATAGGCTTCCTCTACAAATAGTAAATCATTGCAACAATTTAAACACAAAAAACACATTATTATACTTAGGTTAGATGTAATGGTTAGATGTAGACAGGTATCCAAGGTGAAACTACTGCTACTGCTACTACACAATTATGAATTATATGAGATATGAAAAGTGTTAAGGATTCTATGAGTATATGTTAGAGATAGTTTGAATCAGAGATGGTTTAATATTAAGCAATTAGCAGAGCTCCGCATAGTACACTATAGGAAAATTATTATACGAAGGTTAGATTTAATGCTACAAAAAATTTCCTGAGGGCCTGCACGGCCCTAAGAAAATGTTTGAATGCATTACATCTAACCTAAGTATAATAATTTTCCATTAGTGTTCGATGCATGCTCTACTGATTGCTTTACAAGTCAATCGGCGTCGTTTAATGTTAGTTTTTGATAACCAACTGTTCTTGTAGCAGTCATCGGTTGCTATAGTGATATGATCAGTCTGTGTGCTTATTTACATTTAGCTGTGCGTATGCTGATTTGTGCTCTTGCAGTACACGTTAACTACACATCAGCAGTACAGTACGGATACATAGTACAGCTACGTTGAAGAACTATTGAAATTTTTATTATATTAGAACTTGTTTCTAATGCTATATTTTGATAGACATTCATCAAAGAAATAAACATTTCAGCATTCGCAAGAGAATACAGTCACTGAACTTTTTGGTCAGTGCAGACAGGTAAAAATCGTGCGATGATTTAATAATTACGCTAAGCTACAGCCTAGCTAGTAGCAGTAGGAGGCCTCGGCGGCCTCCTGCCTGGCCATAGGCCTACATTTAATTTCGTTCCTTGAGTCTATAAAATAGGTCTAGAATATTTCTATTAAACGTTCACTTTGTTTTGTGTCCAGTGATTCAATGACTTCCTTAATTGTTCATACTTAATATTGAATTTGAAGTAACTAATTAAGTTTGTTTTACGAAAGTAATTTTCAATTACAATTGAATATTCATCGCAGTGTGCGATGTCTTCATGGTGACGAAATGAGGATTTTTTTTTTGCACATAAACCCAAAAAAAATCAAGCCAAAAGCGTCCACTATTGAAAAATTATTGGACTGTGGGGATATTCATATAACATGGGATCCAGCGGCTGAATCTTGGGTTGTGAGTACGAGAAAAATAAAACTAGGCCCAAGCTGGAAAAGTCATACACATAAATATGCATTTTTCTCAGAGGATTGGTTCTCAAACGAGTTAATGAAAGCTTTCTAATATAAATCCAAGTAATTATCAGTCCATACTATCAAGTTTCATGTGATAATCACCTGTGAATTGCCATGTATGACATATCATTATGCTATATGGATGTGGTATGACATCATCATACCCTCATATATGGGAAAATGACAGTATGTGTTACATAAACCCTGATAGCACGGGCAGAGCATACAAAAATAATATTCATACCGAAGTCTTGGCTTTGTCACCTAACAATTGCAACCTCTCTATTGCTGGGACAAGTTCAAATGCTTTCACACTCATATTTACTGTATCGGTCTCCTCTGACAGAATTGATGCTTCTGTCTGCTGCTAGGCCTACCTTTCAATAGTTCTATATGTGATAGCAAGAAAAGTAAAAACAATAATAAAGAACAGTATACATGAGAGAACAGCAGATAATGATATGCTTGCCTATAAAGCTGCCAAGCCTAGCCCTGTTCTAGATTTAGGTCAGTCCCAGATCAGAAAATTTGATCTCGGATAACTTTTTAAACTATAGTATCTAATTATTGTGGCTAGGAATATGATCCGCTATAGTACTGTATCTCAGTAATGGTGAGTGTCCCTAAATTTTTGACTATATTATTACCAAGATAGCGTACGGCCATACTGTAAAGTATTTTTTTGATTGTGCAGATAACACCTTATATTTCTACAAAAAATTTATGAAAAAAGGTGTGCAGAATCGTAACTACTTCATAATACATTATTACATGTAAGTTCATGTCGTAAAAATCTGCACGGAAATTGGACTTTCGGGCTTCCAGGCCTAATTTTTGCGCCAGAGGATATATTCCCTGTGTACTGGCCTTATTTTACAGTCTGGGCTTACAATACTGTCATCGATAAATAGGCGCAGCATAAAGGTTCCATTCAATAATAAGAGTCATGTCATACTATATAGCCATATCAAGGAAGGCATGAATCCTCACTACATAGGCCCAGGCCAGCTTGCTTATGCTTAGAGTTGACATACTACTCAGTCTTTGGTCTAATCTATTTAATATGACAACACATGCACTAAAAAACTGAATATACTGTAAACTGAAAATAAGAGGATTCTTATAGGATTAAAAACACTTTACTGTTTAAATGGGCCTGCATCAAAATATATGACAAATTTGGCACTAATAATCATGATTGTGGAAACTCATTCTCTCGATCTGAATTATTCTGGCTGAATGAACGATGTTTATGATTGGTGTAGATAACAGCGACGAAGTCTACGTAAAGTTGGGTAAATCAAGGAGGTATCAGTTATGCATGTGCATTCAAAGTGTATGAATATGTTAGTCAGATTGTAAAGCGTGGTAATTTCGAATAGGCCTATATTATAGGAAGAATTTAAGCAAGGCCTACTGGCATATGCTAAGAGTTTGGTACAAGATTCAGTCCTTGTTTGATAATGGCTACAGGCCTATATATGGATAAATGACATGACTCTTACTGAGTGGAACCATACGCCTATTCATCGATGACAGTAGTAAGTACAGTATTGTGATTTTTAATGTTCTAATTTACTCATCGTGGGTGATCTACAATGCCAGTCTTGAAAGATGACGTCACGCACATTCTGGCTCTTCATTGGGTGATGGTGACGTAATGCCATGTATACCGTACCTTTAGCAAATTGAAGTAGAAATACGGCCTAGCCACTTGCGAGTAGAGAACAGACATCAACCGTGTTCTGATTGGCCAAACAGACACGTGACAATGAAAGGTCGAAGGAAGGCCACACATGTGCTGTGCTGTGCTGTACTGCTTGTTTGTTTTGACTGGTTTTGATATGACTGGTTTTGATATGAAACCACAGCACAGAAACTGTTCGAAAGCAACAATCATTCATTTAATTTATTTCACCAATTAAACATTACAGACAATAATAGGTCCTACAAAAGGACAAGAGACAAACCTTGTCATGGCATAAAAAAACATAACTTGTTTGTTTTACTGTAATGAACTTATCGTGTCAACAGTAGTTCTTAAACTTATCACGATTTAACAATAAATAAATGAATTACTACTCTTTATTCGTATATTTTTTAACAAGTAAAAAAAATACACAGGAGAGGAAAAATAGTCTTTCCATGACGTGGTTGGTAGAGTACCTAGGCCTAAACGTTTTATGATGGGGTTGCAGATAGAGAAACATCTTCGACTTGGTGATAAAAATGATAAATAAAAAAATTTAAAATGATAAATAATCTAGGCCTATCGTACTATACAAACAAAAGCAATCTTTTAAAAATTAATTTATAAAATTAATTAAAATATTATTATTTTTGAAGGAAACATCGTAACTTCCAGTCTAAAGCGCATTTGATTTTAACATTGTTTATAATTTGCGCTATATATTCTCAATTAATATTATTAACATCATAATTATTATTTTGCCTGCAAATATTGTTCTAATCACAAAGTCGGAAGATTTTCTCTGCAACCCTATCATAACACGTTTAGGACTCCTTTGATTTATTTAACAGTGATACCCGGCCTCTATACAGGTTTGTGAAATATATATTGCTGTTGGACTACACGCACTCACCAACCCGTCACTACGTCATGGAAAGACTGTTTTTCCTCTCAGTCCAGAGGGCCACCGAGAGTTGGGCAGGGGAAAAGGTCAAGGGCCACCGAGAGCGGGCAGGGGAAAGGTCCCAGGGGGGCCCATGGAAATTGAAGGTAGCATTTTTTTTCAATATTTCTTTCAAAAATAATAATTACAATATCATGTGATCTCAAAAATGTCCCCTATGAACCCCTCCAAATTGACAGGGCCTCTAAAAAAATTTGTTGTGTCTTCCGCGCAGTTTACTGTTACAGTTTCCCCTCTTGGCAGCCCGGATGTTGTCTTATTCTTCTTATAATTGTTAAAATAAAATAACGATAAAGTTGTAATTTATATTGTTATTAATTAAATACGCGGTAAGTCTAGAACTACTGTTGACATGATAATTAACTATTATACCGCCAAGACAGATGGGAAACGCCAATTGATTCGAGCCGAGAGAGGATGAAGTAAAGTTCATAAACATGTTATGCCTTTTTAATCTTGTTGCATTCGAACCATAGAGATATAATAGCTCTATTGTTCGAACTGAGTTTGTGCTTGGTTTCCATATCAAAACAAAACAAGCAGCACATGTGTTGCCCTTCGACCTGTCACTGTCGTTTGACCAATCATAACACGGTTGACGTCTGTTCTCTACTCGCAACCAAGTGGCCTAGCCTAGCCCCCCTAGGCTATCTCTAGGCCACGCCGTTTAGCATAAATTCAATGCAAATTGTATTCCTTTTAATGGACTGAATGGACTACTAGGCCAGACCTAGGCTATGTATTTACGCAAAAGCTATGCATGTAATCCCGAGGCGAGCCGCACCTGTCTGATTCGGACCCGGACTAAAAAACTAAACAAGTCCTTATTCTTGGGCCTAAGCTTAATAGTAAATGATGTTTACTAATTATTAAATGTAAACTAGGCCTACCACTAGGCCTACATCAATGTCTAACATAATAATATATTGGTATACCTTAAGAAACAGTAATAACACCGGAGTATAACATCTTTTCCAAGACAAATTCGACGCATTCGGTAGCAGAGCCAGCATAGATTTTGCGACCTTTTTCCGGAAGCTCCAATCCTGATGTTTTTCCTCTCTCCATGCAAAATACGAAATACGTTGACAATCTGAGTACAAAAGCTGGCTTTGTCTAAAACGCGTTAAAGTGACGCAAACAAAACGCGTTTGAAGCATGCCCAGGTCTTCAAGTTATTACATAAGTCCTTGTATTTTAACAATTAGCTTAGGCTTATTCTTGATTTCGCTGTCTCATTTTTTTTGTTTTTGGGGGTTTTTTTTATTGGTAATGCCCCACTGGTTAAAAGTGTAAACTTGCGTTGTAATACGAAACTACTAATACTAATACATACTAATGCCTCAGTCAGAGGCCAGTTTCTGTAGCCTAACATGTGTTTTTTTCTCACTACCCCTTCCTCATTCAAGGCCTACACACCGTCACTTACAAGCACATTGTAGACAGGCCATATGTACAGGTAGGCCTACTACAATACCCACAATACCCAGATACATTACACTTTTCACTCTTTTCAATCCACTTCTACATCCGATCAGCAATTAATCTGCTATCGAAAATCCACAAAACACCAAAAAGCATAAAATCGGTTTCAACATTTTAATAAAAACATAAATTCTTAAATAGAATAGTGATGTTGACATTTGATATTTTATATTATAATGTAACATTAGCTAAATATGATAAAACAATTAAGCACTTTGTAAATCTCTTAAACGGATTTTACATCTTTTGATATAAATTCACTGAGATGACTTTCAATTGCTATTAATCAAATATAAAATTAAACAATAAATAATATAGTAACATTAACGTGCATTATTCTATTTATATAAATATTAATATCAATAATAATAATAATAATAAAACATCATAATTAGAAACATATGAAAAAATGAATTAAATTAACGTAATCATTAAACTTACAAGAACGTATCAACATCGCTTTACATTTAGGCTTAGCAACAGAAAAATCTAGACAACTAGGCCTACAATATTTTCATAATACAAATTTAAGTTTAATTCGTTTTGTGCCAAACTATATTGGGTTAAACTAATGACACGTTATATGTACATATAAAAAGAGAAGTACATGAAATTATGACAAAATGTTACAAGATTAACTTAACATGACATTATTAAAGTATTTATTTAGCATTTCGCAACCAGCTAAACAGTAAAAGGGCCTATAGCCTACGAATGGCAGACCAACATTGAATTCAGAACAGGAAAAATACTTGTCAAGTCAACTTTGTTTTATATTATCTTACGCTACCTTAAATAGTTTATATTGCAAAATGTTAATAATTTAATTACTTTCTTCCTCCTGCGCATGGTTTGTAGCTTTGTCGTCTATCGACATCTCTTGAGCGGTCTCATCTTCTTTTACAACACTCTCTGTTTCCAAGGTCACAGCATTGTTTGCTTTTGGGGCGTTGATAACCAATACGCCATCGTCTCGTATGTTTGATCTCAATTGGCCGACATCTACGTCGGACGGTAAGCTAAACCATTTGGTGACTTCTTCGTGCAAGAAGTGTCCCTCGCCTTCATCAACTTTCTTTGCGTGGATCTTCAATTTGTGATCATCTACGCTGATATTTACGTGTTCCGGTTTAAATTGTTCCATTGGCAATTCGACATGAAATCCATTATCTGTTTTTGAATGACCAATGATGGCAGAAGTGTCGTTTGCCTCTTCATGTTCCATAATCACACCCGTGGAAATCGGCGTAGTAGAGTCTTCCTTTTCAATCTCCACCTCTTGTTGGTTGGTATTGTCCATCTGTTCATCCTTCTGAGAAGAGCCAGCTCCTCCATTGATGATCGAGTCGTTATCCTGCTTTGGTACTGTCTTAAATGGTGCATTGATATGTAGAGCACCTTCTCGGGACAGACTAGACGTCAATTTATCAGCGTCAATATTTTCAGGCAGGCTGTACCATTTGAAAACCTCAGAAGAAATACCATGCTTGTCTTTTGATTTAGCATGAATTTTCAGACGATCGCTATCCAAAGATACGTCGATTTCTTCTGGTTTGAAGTCCTTAAGATCCAACTCAACATGGAAGTTGGCCTCTCTTTGTCGACAAGTCGCGCTTGTCTTTGGGCTGGTTTTCTGTCGTTTTGAGCTAGTCTTCAGATCGTTTACATCAAATGGATCTATCAGAAAATATGTTGGCTCTGGCCTGCGTCCAGCATTTCCAAAGATGAATGGACCATCACCTAAGCCCGTTGTCCACGGATCAAATGCCGGTTCCCGTCGTCGACGATACACCGGTTGATGGACGAAAAAACTTGGTGAAGATAAGCTAAACATTTTAAAATAACTTTTTCTTTTCGGTAGTACTTCGTTGAATGTGTTCGTACACGTCTCTGTTCGTTTGAATGACTGATGTAGAATTGCATTTGATAAATCTTATATAGGCACTGCTTTTGTCAAGAACGCTCTTCGGGAACCATTACGAACTATCGAGAATATTCTTATAGAGGGCGCCAAATGACGAGGAATCTATTTTTGGAACATTACATTATTTTCTAAAAATACAAAATAAAGGGATTGCGAAGTCAATGATATTGAGGGCGCCATACTACAATTTTGTTTGGAGACCCACTGGTTAAAAAAAGTTTTTCGTCGTGGATTAGGGTCATCAGAAGCGCACCCGCCATGGCTAAATGACTTTTCTCGATTATATTATGTTGTTTCCAATACAGGAAAAAATTATTGATACCAATAAATTATATGAATTTATTATTAATGTTTGCATCACATTCTTTTTAATGACCAAAACCACCATGTGCTTGTTTTTATATTGGCCGGTGTCATGTACATTTTTTTTTTTTTTTTTTTTTTTTTACAATTTTAAATTTTAGTTATTATGGTTGCTTTCGAAAATTTTATTTTTAGAGATATAAATATAAACTAACAATATTTATAAAATGTTGGGTGTTGGAGTTGGCTAACTGCGTTGCAGGTTACCAACTTCTAATTCTGGGCATCTAGATGCCATATTTCAAAATTGTTCACATCAGGCCCATCACGGGTAGGTATGAATTTAATATCCCAACTAACGCTAAATGTTGTGTCTGCCTCTTGAGAGGGAGGGGTAGCGGCTCAACAATTGCCGGTTGCTATTTTCAAGCATCTAGAGAAGTGCAATATTTTCAAAATTTTCTCACCTCAGCCCCAACCATGACGGGGTCAATTCATCGGCCAGCAGTGGTGGTACCATTGTGGAGAGAAACAAAGGAATGTTTCTGATTTGCACAGCTCAGGCCAATGCTCCTCTAAATAAGACAGGTTGTTGTTTTTTTAATTCGTAGGCATATTGAAACAGGTATATAGTACTATCGTTTTGGGTAGACTTAATATTTCAACAATTAATGATTTTGTCAATTGGTAAAGAGAAATTTGACCGTAATTATTATGCTTGTATACAAAACTATATAGGCCTATTGATTTGTTGTGTTATTAATTGTGAGTAAATAATATTGTTGGACGAACGAGATTGTTGAGGACAGTTGATGGCACGGTACATTTATGAGCTTTACATGTTATTTATGTACAATACAACCCCTCCTTTGAATCCCCTATTAAAGAGACACCTCCCCCAACCCACTCCTATTAAGGGGACACTTTTCTAGCCGTACGGTGCGGGGAATGTATCTTTTAACACACGACCAACCTCTATTCAGGGGACACCTCTACTAAAGGAACATTTTTTCGGACCCGAATGTATCCCCTTGATATGGGTTCATATTTGTGTAAAGTAGGTTAGGTTTATATATTTGGGATTAAGGTTCGTTGAGCCCGTCTTCTGGACATTGTTGCTCACACGAAATCGAAGGGCACCTGTACATGCGTCGTGGGACACATGTGGGACAAGCGCGTATTTCCTGGACCTGTTGTGATTGGTCTGATTGAAGTGCATTGAAGTGTTGGGTTCTAAAAGACAGCACCGTACATACAGTAGAAAGCCCCTACTATAATGGCTCAGTCATATATGCCAGTTTCATGGCCTGAACATGTTTTTGTCTCACCACCTCTTCCTCATTCAAGGCCTACACAACATCACTCTTACACGCACATTGTGGTACAAGCCCATGTACAGGTAGGCCTACTACACAATCCACAATACCCATTGCATCACACAGTATTTAACACTTTTCAATAGACTTCAACATCCGATCAGCATTATTCCGTTATAAAACATCTTAAAAACACACAAAACGCATTAAATCGTTTTCAACATTTTAATAAAACACATAAATTCTTAAAATACAATAACAATGATGTTGACGATTGATATATTATATTAAAGTGTATACATAATACATAGGCCTATAATAAAACAATAAAACAGCGTGTAAATCTCTTTAACGGATTTTACATCTGGAGCAAATTAATACTTTTACTAAGAAGAAGGCTTTTTAGTATACAATTATAATGCTACAGTATATTAATAATATTAATACATTAATATTAACGTGCATTATTTTACTTATTTGTCATAAACATAATAATAGGAAACATATGAAAAAATGAAGAACATTAAACAAAATCACAAGGCAAAGCAAACGTATTCAACATTACTGTAAGATAGATTTACCAATTGTATAAAAATGATAACATCAAACTGTTACGGTACTGGTACGTCTAAAGAACTACATTATATCCACTACGTGTACGTAGTTAAATTATACACGTTACACCTCTAATAGATGCCATTATGACAAAATCTAACAAGCTTATTAACGTAACATGATATTATTAAAGTATTTTTATACCATTTTGCAACCAATAATATAGTACTGTATATAAAAGCATTTAAGCAAGCATATGAAATAAGAAGTTTAATTCGCCCTCCTGTGCATGCCACCACGGGGGTAGTTAAACTGCAGTGCACCCTCTCAATTCGAGACCCCTCTGACACCCAGCTCTCTAATTCGAGACAAATTGTTCAAACAACCACATAACAAACTTCAATTTACTAAACTAAGCTAACCCTCTAAGCAGAGACCAAACCCTGAGACCACCTAAAATTTTCAGGCACTAAAGCTGGTCTCTAATTGGAGGGCGAACTGTAATGACACGTACAAGTAATACCGTAATTGTTTAAACTACTAGTAGGCTGCCATTATGAAATATGTAATAAGCTTATTAACATAAGATGGCATTTTATGCAACCAATAAATACAATAGTATATTAAAACATTTAAGAAGAATGTAAAAAATATAATAATATATTAATTCCCCAAATGAGAACAACAATAAACAAGGCAAAATGCCATAGCTAAAAGCAACAAAGGTTTTATACAAATGGCAGACCAAAACATTCATTGAATTCAGAACAGGAAAAAATACTTGTCAATATAAAAAATGATACAAAGTGTTGTTTTATATTATCTTAAGCTTAACTAAATAGTTTATAATGCAATCATAATTTAATTACTTTCTTCCTCCTGCGCATGGTCAGTAACACTGTCGTCTATTGACATATCTTGCGCCGTCGCATCTTCTTTTACAACACTCTCTGTTTCCAAAGTTACAGCATTGTTTGCCTTTGGGACGTTGATAACCAATACGCCATCGTCTCGTATGTTTGATCTCAATTGGCCGACATCTACGTCGGACGGTAAGCTAAACCATTTGGTGACTTCTTCGTGCATGAAGTGTCCCTCGCCTTCATCAACTTTCTTTGCGTGGATCTTCAATTTGTGATCATCTACGCTAACATTTACGTGTTCCGGTTTAAATTGTTCCATTGGCAATTCGACATGAAATCCATTATCTTTTTCTGAATGACCAATGATGGCAGAAGTGTCGTTTGCCTCCTCCTGTTCCATAATCATACCCGTAGAAATCGGCTGAGTAAAGTCTTCTTTTTCAATCTCCGTTTGTTGGTTGGTTTTGTCCATCTGTTCATCCTTCTGAGAAGAGCCAACTCCTCCATTGGCGATCGAGTCTTTATCCTGCTTTACTACCTTAAATGGTGCATTGATATGTAGAGCACATTCTCGAGACAGACTAGACGTTAATTTATCAGTGTCAATATTTTCAGGCAAGCTGTACCACTTGAAAACCTCAGAAGAAATACCATGCTTGTCTTTTGATTTAGCATGAATTTTCAGACGATCGTTATCCAAAGATACGTCGATTTCTTCTGGTTTGAAGTCTTTAAGATCAAACTCAACATGGAAGTTGGCTTCTCTTTGTCGACAAGTCGCGCTTGTCTTTGGGCTGGTCTTCTGTCGTTTTGAGCTAGTCTTCAGATCGTTTACATCAAATGGATCTATCAGAAAATATGTTGGCTCTGGCCTGCGTCCAGCATTTCCAAAGATAAAAGGCCCATCACCTAAGCACGATGTCCACGGATCAAATGCCGGTTCCCGTCGTCGACGATACACCGGTTGATGGACGAAAAAACTTGGTGAAGATAAGCTAAACATTTTCAAATAACTTTTCTTTTCGGTAGTACTTCGTTGAATGTGTTCGTACACGTCTCTGTTCGTTTGAATGACTGATGTAGAATTGCATTTGCTAAATCTTATATAGACACTGCTTTTGTCAAGAACGCTCTTCGGGAACCATTACGAACCATCGAGAATATTCTTATAGAGGGCGCCAAATGCCGAGGAATCTATTTTTGGAACATTACATTATTTTCTAAAAAATACAAAATAAACGGATTACGAAGTCAATGATATTGAGGGCGCCATACTACAATTTTGTTTGGAGACCCACTGGTTAAAAAAAGTCTTTCGTCGTAAATTAGGGTCACCGGAAGCGCACCCGCCATGGCCAAATCACTTTTCTCGATTATATTATGTTGTTTCCAATACAGTAAACAATTATTGATACCAGTAAATTATATGAATTTATTAATAATGTCTGCATCACATTCTTTTTCATGTTATATATTTTTGTAAACAACCATGTGTTTGTTTTTGTATTGGCCGGCTATATTACATTTCGTTTTATTTTTTTGACAATCTTAAATTTTAGTAATTATGGTTGCTTTCGAAAATTTGATTTTTAGACGTATAAATATAAACCACAGACCCTATATGTGTATAAACTAACAATATTTATAAAATGTTGGGGGTTGGAGTTGGCCAAATTGACATCACCACACAAAGGTACACGGATCAAGCTCGCTCCGATATGGTAATCAAAATTTAAACCTCTAAAGTGAAGGATTTGCCTATTCATTTTTTTAAGTATGCATGTGATGTGCTGCTTCAGGGGCGGATCTGGGTTAAAATTTAGGGGGGGGGGGGGCAAAATGTTTCCAAAAAAAACCAAAAAAGAAAAAGGGTGGGGGTCCTCTCCCTGGAAAATGTTGATTCCTAGATGACGGAAAATGAGCATTCCCGACTTCTGAAGTGTCTTTTAATGACTTTTCAGTTCTTCAAAATTCAAGATTTTATGCCTCTTGAAAATAAAACGGTCAGGTAAATTTTTCTCATTTTTATTACAGTAAGTAGACCTATTATGTGTGTACCGGTATAGATCTACATACAGAAAATAAAAATGAGTAATTGCATACGTATTCCTTTTTCCGTGAATCGATGAACCCCCCAAGAAAGGGGGGGGGTGGGGTGTCAGGGGTCCTCCCCGGGAAAATTTTGCTTCCTAGATTACGGGAACTGAGCTTTCCTGACTTCCAATTTTCCCATTGTAACAAAAAAAAATTGAGCTCACGGGTCCTGAAAAAAGTAGGTGTCTAGAAATTATTATTTTATTTTATCTTTTTTTTTTTTTTTTTTGCCCAGTGGGGTCAGGAATGTTTCTGATTTACACAGCTCAGGCCAATGCTCCTCTAAATAAGACAGGTTGTTTTTTTTTAATTCGTAGGCATATTGAAACAGGTATATAATACTATCGTGTTGGGTAGACTTAATATTTCAACAATTAATGATTTTGTCAATTGGTAAAGAGAAATTTGAAGGTAATTATTATGCTTGTATACAAAAATATATAGGCCTATTGATTTGTTGTGTTATTAATTGTGAGTAAATAATATTGTTGGACGAACGAGATTGTTGAGGACAGTTGATGGCACGGTACATGTATGAGTCTTACATGTTATTTATGTACAGTACAACCCCTCCTTTGACACCCCAACCCACTCCTATTAAGGGGACACTTTTTTAGCCGTACGGTGCGGGGAATGTATCTTTTAACACACGACCAACCTCTATTCAGGGGACACCTCTACAAAGGGGACATTTTTTCGGACCCGAATGTATCCCCTTGATATGGGTTCATATCTGTGTAAAGTACCGTAGGTTAGGCTTATATATTTGGGATTGAGCCCCGTCCCCTGGACATTGTTGCTCACACGAAATAAATGCGTATCTGTACATGCGTCTTGGGACACATGTGGGACAAGCGCGTATTTTCTGAAGTGGGTTCCAAAAGACAGCACCGTACATACAGTAGAAATCCCCTACTATAATGGCTCAGTCATATATGCCAGTTTCATGGCCTGAACATGTTTTTGTCTCACCACCTCTTCCTCATTCAAGGCCTACACAACATCACTCTTACACACACATTGTGGTACAGGCCCATGTACAGGTAGGTCTACTACACAATCCACAATACCCATTGCATCACACTTATTTAACACTTTTCAATAGACTTCAACATCCGATCAGCATTATTCCGTTATAAAACATCTTAAAAACACACAAAATGCATTAAATCGGTTTCAACATTTTAATAAAACACATAAATTCTTAAAATACAATAACAATGATGTTGACGATTGATATATTATATTAAAGTGTAACATAATAAATAGGCCTATAATAAAACAATAAAACAGCGTGTAAATCTCTTTAACGGATTTTACATCTGGAGCAAATTAATACTTTTACTAAGAAGAAGGCTTTTTAGTATACAATTATAATGCTACAGTATATTAATAATATCAATACATTAATATTAACGTGCATTATTTTACTTATTTGTCATAAACATAATAATAGGAAACATCATATGAAAAAATGAAGAACATTAAACAAAAAACACAAGGCAAAGCAAACGTATTCAACATACATGTCATTACTGTAAGATAGATTTACCAATTGTATAAAAATGATAACATCAAACTGTTACGGTACCGGTACGTCTAAAGAACTACATTATATCCACAATACAAATTGAAGTTTTCCTTTGCCCGTATACGTAGTTAAATTAAAGACACGTTACACCTCTAATAGATGCCATTATGACAAAATCTAACAAGCTTATTAACGTAACATGATATTATTAAAGTATTTATATACCATTTTGCAACCAATAATATAGTACTGTATATAAAAGCATTTAAGCAAGCATATGAAATAAGAAGTTTAATTCGCCCTCCTGTGCATGCCACCACGGGGGTAGTTAAACTACAATGCACCCTCTCAATTCGAGACCCCTCTGACACCGAGCTAATTCGAGACAACTTGTTCAAACAACCACATAACAAACTTCAATTTACTAACACTAAGCTAACTCTCTAAGCAGAGACCAAACCCTGAGACCACCTAAAATTTTCAGGCACTAAAGCTGTCTCGAATTGGAGGGCGAACTGTAATGACACGTACCAGTAATACCGTAATTGTTTAAACTACTAGTAGGCTAGTATGCCATTATGAAATATGTAACAAGCTTATTAACATAAGATGGCATTATTAAAGTATTTATTTAATATTTTATACAACCAATAAATACGAATTCAGAACAGGAAAAATACTTGTCAAGTCAACTTTGTTTTATATTATCTTACGCTACCTTAAATAGTTTATATTGCAAAATGTTAATAATTTAATTACTTTCTTCCTCCTGCGCATGGTTTGTAGCTTTGTCGTCTATCGACATCTCTTGAGCGGTCTCATCTTCTTTTACAACACTCTCTGTTTCCAAGGTCACAGCATTGTTTGCTTTTGGGGCGTTGATAACCAATACGCCATCGTCTCGTATGTTTGATCTCAATTGGCCGACATCTACGTCGGACGGTAAGCTAAACCATTTGGTGACTTCTTCGTGCATGAAGTGTCCCTCGCCTTCGTCAACTTTCTTTGCGTGGATCTTCAATTTGTGATCATCTATGCTGACATTTACGTGTTCCGGTTTAAATTGTTCCATTGGCAATTCGACATGAAATCCATTATCTTTTTCTGAATGACCAATGATGGCAGAAGTGTCGTTTGCCTCCTCCTGTTCTATAGTCACACCCGTAGAAATCGGCTGAGTAGAGTCTTCCTTTTCAATCTCCACCTCTTGTTGATTGGTTTTGTCCATCTGTTCATCCTTCTGAGAAGAGCCAACTCCTCCATTGGCGATCGAGTCTTTATCCTGCTTTACTACCTTAAATGGTGCATTGATATGTAGAGCACCTTCTTGGGACAGACTAGACGTCAATTTATCAGTGTCAATTTTATCAGGCAAGCTGTACCACTTGAAAACCTCAGAAGAAATACCATGCTTGTCTTCTGATTTAGCATGAATTTTCAAACGATCGCTATCTAAAGATACGTCGATTTCTTCTGGTTTGAAGTCCGTAAGATCTAACTCGACATGAAAGTTGTCCCTTTGTCGACAAGTCTCACTCGTCTTTGGGCTGGTCTTCTGTCGTTTTGAGCTAGTCTTCAGATCGTTTACATCAAATGGATCTATCAGAAAATATGTTGGCTCTGGCCTGCGTCCAGCATTCCCAAAGATGAAAGGACCATCACCTAAGCACGATGTCCACGGATCGAATGCCGGCTCCCGTCGTCGACGACGACACACCGGTTGATGAACGAAAAAACTTGGGGAAGATAAGCTAAACATTTTCAAATAGCTTTTACTTTCCGGTAGTACTTCGTTGAATGTGTTCGTACACGTCTCTGTTCGTTTGAATGATTGATGTAGAATTGCATTTGCTAAATCCTATATAGGCACTGTCCTTGTCGAGAACGCTCTTCGTGAAGGAAAAGTCTGAGCCGGGAACGATTACGAACCGTCGAGAATATTCTTATAGAGGGCGCCAAATGTGTTTTGGTCATGTTGGTAGATCTATTTTTGGAACATTACATTAAATTCTATAAATAAACAAATTACACACGCCCCAATGAAAAACTTTGAGGGCGCCGTACTACAAAATTTTGTTCATGATGACATGATGACATTGGTAAGATGGTCCACCGCACGTAGGCAAAAGGGAAGTTTATGCGTATCCTAGTTTTAAATTATATTCTATATCCTATTTAGGAATATTGCTAATGATAGTTAGTATTAATTAAACATGCTCTCCCGTAAAATATCAAGTTTTAGCCGATTAATCCACCGAAATGTCAGCACAGCTCATATTATTCGGCCTGGGCTGCCCGCTTCTGCGATAGTACTTTTTAAACAGCCAGCGATAAACCAAACAAGTCGCCTTAATAACACAACTTCGGAATCAATCTTCGGCCTACACCTAGCAGCCAGAAGATTATGCACTATTACTCGGTCTAACAGTAGTAACACAAATGAAGTGGATAAGGGAATAGGTAGTGCAGCCACCGACAGTAAGAAACCACCAGAAAGTAAGTTTATTATAATATTAATTCTTATTCCTTTTTTATTGCCAAAATTGAGAACATAATAAACAATGACAGTCAACTCAGGGAGCAAGCAGGAACCCAAAAGTAAACTAAATAACTCTAAAAAAAAAGTTAAGGTTTCTTAATCCCAAAGTAACATAACAATAAATATAAATATGTAAATAAACTCATACAATACAAGATTATTTATTTAAAAACATTAAAATTGTAAAAATTCAACGAAACAAAAAAGATACTGTATGCGGAGATGAAAAAGAGAGAACCGTCCGATACGCTGTGCAATGCAACTAAGTGGAGGAGCTATAATATAAGACATGCGATTTGAGAGAGTGCATAAATGTTGGAAAGGAATCAAGGATAAAGGGATTTTTTAAATATTTAATCAAATAAAAATGAATAATTAAAAAGAAGGCTTGTGGACTACTTTCCTACTACTACCCCAAGATGTATATTTACCACTGTATGATTTTGTCTTCATGTCTTTTTTTTTTGGGTGGACTTTGTTTAGCAGAATAGATATTGGCTCATGATTGTACTCAAAGCAATATAAGAAATCAAATTGTATAGAATCCAATTTCAATATGATCAATCTATTTTAGTTTTAGATGGTTTTAATCCAAGAGCAAAGCGACCAAGTAAAATGGATCGTAGGATATTGGTTTTGATGGGAAGGTACAAGTCTGATGAAGAAATCCCAGATTTCGTATCGTAAGTACTGCATATAATACAGTATTTAACTATAATTAAAATATACATTATTTGTGTTATAAGTCACTTGTTCTTGTGTTGTTATTCACAGGTCCTACTTAAAACATTTGAATCTTCAGCTTCAAAACTCTTCTTTAACTAACTTTCTATAAAAACATTAGGAATTCATTTAATTCATACCTCAAAAACCATCTCTGTCTTAGTGGAAAATAAATACAGTACAGGATAATTGGTGGTTCAAATAGAATGTGGGATGGTCTTGAAACAATAACACATTTCTTAAGTTTTTATACAAAAACGAACAGTTAAATGGTATCCAATTTAATGCTTTATCAAATTCCTTGATGACCTCACGGAGTCACCCAAAATATCTTGATGACATTAAAACTCAAGCAATAACACATTCATTGCCACTATCATCATGAATTGTATCTTCTTCTTTGTTCATTATCTCTTTTATTGTATTTTTGTATATCCTTAATTGTATTTCTTTGAATTTTATTATACTTTTCAAATTTTCCAATATATTTATCTTGTATCATTTAGAGACACTGTGATCAACGCCACAAAGAATAAATTCCGAATCGCTGTGAACATTGGTATGGGTGCGTGCACTCTTCTAGGTGCCCTTGTAATGATCTATATTGGACGCAAACGTATGCATGCTGGCGAGAGTATTGTTGGTATGAACTTGGACAGACGTAAAGACTACTACAGTAAAGAAAAATGAAATATAAATATTTCTGTGCCATATTAATATTACAATAATGTTATTATCCTTTACCACAAAATGAGTTGTGTTGCACATTAAATGTCTTGATATAACTAAACATAGGTTGAAACAAATTTTGGCAAGAAGTGAGTTTTCGTATCATCTGTATGCTGTTACTGTGTTGGCTTATGAAAACATGATTGAAATTAAAACATAACATTATAAACAGTATTTCAAGGGAGAGCAGCTTGATGGAACAGACCAGGCGCACAAAACCTTCATGGTTGAGTGCACATAGTAGTTACGCATGGGAAAATTAAACCCGCTTCCCATTGCTGCTCACTTACGTGTTCGCATCATGGAGGAATACTTTTTACCTCAACTTATTCCTCCATGATCTGATATACTGTATTATTGAGCTATAATTTTATGCAAAATGTATTTCCTTCAACACCCACATATGGTTTGTGTGTGGGGGAAGGGGAAGATGGAGGGGGAAGATGTAATAATGTTGTCTGCTAACAGTAGGCACTCATGACAATTCTGCTGAAAAATATTATGGCCCACTTTGTTAGTTAGTATATAGCTATTAAAACTTTGTCTTCCTAGGTTGAATAAAATAGGGCAATTCCATGTCAAATTAAAATTCCCCCTGCCCTGCTTGCGCCACCACTATTTCCCCAAGGAATTTCAACCTTGGATTTTTAAGTGATCTGACTATTTTCTCATACCTACAGTATATATAAAAATTAGCAGTTTGGTTTACTGTTGTTTGTACTATTTATATACAGAAGTACAGTGTTAACGCACCGAAATGTTGTGTGCCACTGAAACAAAAGTGTATGTTCAGTTGAATAAATAAATAAATATAGAAACAGTACGTTTTTCAAATGGACATGCCATATACAGCTGCTCATTGGTCAGGAACTGTTTAGCACCCATCACCAAACTTATAGGGAAGCTTCTTTACATCATAATGTACCTCTAGCTTGAATTTGAAGGGGAAAAAAAGATATATATTTTTTTTATTCAACTTTGAACCTTTTAATGTATACTGATTTTTTTTTTTTTTGGTTGATTTGACATGGAATTACCCAATATTAAAAGCACAGTGCATTATTTTAAAAGATACTGTATATGTTAATTCTTTAAAACAATTGTTGGTGCTGTTCTTATGGATACTCCTGAATAAGAGTGTAATATCCACAGAGTAAGTAAGTGTAATGATGCTGAAATATTTTTTTACTTATTTTCTTGTGATCATTATTGTGTTACATCATGAAGATTACTGTAGTACAACATATTCACACAAGATAAATTTTCACTTATCAATACTAAATCACACAGTATCTTATATGGACGAGCATTCACACAGACGAATGTAGCAAGGGACTTGTTCCTCAATCCTGTATGACATTTTGCTTTTGTGATGTTGGTGTTAATGAATTTACTAAGCATTATTATGCATAAACAAATACATATGTGGCAAAGACGATCCAAACCAGTGATTTTTAGTTATTAATACAGAGTTAAATGGTAAAATGAGAGCTATGGTAAAAGAATCATTTAAATCCAACATTTCCTTTACTTTTAACATTTATGATTTCAGCATTTCTTAGGCAGAAACCATCACCAAATCGGTAATAATTGTTGTTTTAACATTGAAAATAGGCAAAATAACAACATAGCATGATGTATAGATATATAAAGGTTAGTTTAGTGCAATAACAGATTTAAAAAATTTCAACATTCCAGCATGTTTTGGTCATTATCTCTAAAACACGCTTTGCAATGAGTGACTGGTTTGGCTTGTCTTTGCCACATTTTTTTTCCCCCTAAATTCTGGGATGTAGTTATAGTGGGCAGAGGTGGGTGGGGCCACCTAGTCTAAAGCTAATTTCATGGCCTTCCACCCACCCTTATTAACCCACTTTTCCATCCTTAAAATCTACTCCTATTATCTAGAGTTTACCAATTTTATCACACAACCACCCTCAAAATATCTATCCCCACCCTTAGTTTTCATTAGCTTACAACCCTGTAAATTCATAGCACTTTAGTAATAGTAATATTGTTGCTGTTATTGTTCTATAAAAGTCTAACTAAATGCTGGGTTTTTTTTTGTCCGAGTATTCAAGTTAATAACAATTTAATTGTTACAATAGTAGCTGAAAAGTAATATAATTACTGTAATTCGATATATTGTAATGTAGATTGTCAAATTATATTAAATAAAATACAATGAAATAATGTTGTTTAAAATGAATATGGATTAAAGCTTTCTGAAATCTGTACAAAGTTTTGTTTCAGTCTTCTGTTGTCAATGCGAATTACTATTTATTGTTGGCTAAATCCTGCACAGGGATAGTGTCAGCAGTCGACCAGGGGTGTGGACTCGCCTGCATATTGTCTCTTCTCCACTCAGGAGTGCATTAGCTGATTTGTGGAGCCCCCACGGTGACTTGTTACAGTCGCTAAAAAACTCGCTGCTTTTACAGATGTTTGCAATCGGGTCACAACAAGGGTTTCTAGCCACACACATAAATTATTTATTTTTGTGGCCACTACAAAATATGTAACAATGAAAATAATAATTTTTGGATTTATATAAACACAAGAATGAAACCAACTATGCTTTCTAATTTACTCAGTTTTATTAGACTACCAATACATGTAGCTCGCACAGATGATAACAAGAAAGGTTAAGTCTCCTTCACCACCCATACATTTATAGAATTTGGAACCAGTGTGTACTTATGTTGTAAAAACACACTAAGCTTGAAAAAACTATATTGAAAATATTTCTTAATACAACAGCAGTGAAATGAGAATAAAACAAAGTCGTTGCATAACACTAGAACTTGATATCAACTTGAACACTTCAATTCAATTGTCCTTTTATAAACGCATGCATGTCTTGACAAGTACTGAAAAATACCATTTAATGATTGCAATGAAAAGTTTTCAATAGAAATATACTTATCTTAATACAACTTTTTAATACTAATCCAAAGAATTATAAACATATCAACAAATCTTTAGTGAGGTTATGATTCAGATACCTAAATAACCACTTATAACTAAGGTTAATTGACAAAGAAATATGTAACAAACATATAAGTGCATATTTTATTTTAATCTGGAAGCCAATATTATATAATATACAATAATGTGATAATAGGCCTATATGGTATGCAACGACTTATGGTTCCAAATAAGTTACCAAGATTTTAATAGTAAAATGTCAATCAATGGTAACTAAGCAACGCACCTGTCAATAACTCAACATAGCCAGCTGAGAGATCTTCGTCAGAACTACACATTCCCTTGTTTTGTAGAAACATGCAATTAAATTAAAACTAAATCTGTTTGATTCTTTAAAATTTAATGACTTATATTTTCACATCCAAAATGCAAGTTTTGGTAATTGAGCAGGTGGCTACATTCTATAAATGACTGGAGTGGTGAGTGAGTACGACCTAGATAGTCTATTAGCGGTAGAAGTTATGTACTTGGCATGTCTATTTTTTTGAATGTGGCGAATAAAACATGTTCTGTGATTGACGTGTCTGACGTGTATACCATGTTTTAAATGCTGTCACAATCAAGTCGATTCGTCCATCTAAAATGAATCCATTGTCCATTCTCTGGCAAAATGGATAAGCTTTCTGTCCACTTTAAACTCTAAAAAACACCTTCCAACACCTTGATTTAAAAAAAATACAACAAGGTTCAAAAACAACATTTTTCTTTTCTCAAAAAATAATAATTTGTTAACATTAATAGCTTTAATTTTTTTCTTTTTTGTTAAATAAACTTTTTTATATCGTTCATCGCACAATGGAATGGTCACCAAATTATACTAATCTCTTTATCTTTGACTGGGTCACAGTTTGGAAATAATTTGTTTTTCTAAACACCTACAGTTCTAAAAAAAAATCTATGTTTGAATTGATCGGAATTAAGCACCATGAAGTAATGATGGGATGATAACATATTAGGAAAATTGGGAAAAATACAGAGTTACAGTACTATCAAAAAAAATTTCTAAATTTACAGTTTTGCACAAACGCATTGTAGTAAATTTACCTGGATAAAACATGTCAACATTAAAGTTCAAATTCTCATACGAATATTGTTTTAAATTATAATTATATAATAAGTCTTTTTTTTTTTTATTTTAATAATTTTTCTTAGTTACCCATGTGCTTCACTTCATATCTGTACCCTGAGAAGAGAATTATTATTGAACTTTTTTTTTAAATTCCGAACGCATACAATTTGACGATCATTAATTTAATTTAAAAATAAAAATTTTCACAAATTTCTTTTATAAAATTATACTTAAACAGAATTTTTATTTGGAGTTTGATAACCAAAATTAACAAGATATCGAGTTATTCATGAATGTTAGATCCTTTTTGTAAATAAATTATTATACTTATAAGTTTACCATTAGTTTTGGAAACCATGGTACTGTAATTAGAAATGGTTCTCGCAGAACAAGTATACCCTATCAATGCATAAGAGTGCACTCCCCTGTCAATGCTTAATAAGTGTACTCTGTATGTAATAGCATAAGAGCTCACTGCCTGCCAAATGCAAGAGTACACTCCCCTGTCAATGCTTAAGTGTGTACTCCTATGTAAGTGCATAAGAGCTCATTTCCTGACAATGCACAAGAGTGCACTCCCTGTTAATGCAGTATGCTAAAATCTATTATTCAAATAGAGCTTCTACCATTGGCTAGATAATACAGTTTCATCAGTATTATAAAAAAAAAAATATATTTTTAAGAAGCTGCATAAATTGTCAATGCAAATCAAACTGTGTTTCCAGAACAATGGACAAAATGTTGAACCATACGGTAAAATAAACTTTTATTTTTACTACTGCATAATTGCACAAACCAGTTCCATTAATAAGTTGATTATAAGTAGCATTTTTCACTGTCTTTTAACAACTCATCATTATTTAAGAACTACAAGAAAATACTGTCATATACTACCATACCTGATCTATATAAATATCACTCTGAAGAAAAAATGGATGGAAGTTCTATGTACCTGAATTTTACTGCTTTTTTGATGTTTCAAAGAATATTTTTGTGACCCAAGTCAAAGAATCATCTAGAAATTTAAGAACTGTTGGCATAGCCATTGCATACAATTACAACCCAAAGACACTGAAAATATTTGATACTGAAACATCAGCTATGCTACTTACTTTTTTTTTTATAAATTTGGCATTTTTATATCCAAATTATATTTCAGAAGTTCCAATACCAAAATTAATTTTATTCCAGTAATTGCCTCTAAGCATAGATTAAATGTTAATAACTAGCCTAAATTTGTATGCATGTTTTTAGATATGCTGCATTTAAAGATGGTATTATTTGATAAAAATTACCCAGAAAAATTTTTGAATTCAAATTGCTCATTTTGTATGGGTCTAAAGTTTAACAACATTGAAAGAGTACATAGTATATAAAAAAATGACCTACTCTTAAAGCCAGGCCCGGGAGTGATAAAAAAAATTGTTAATGTTGTAAAACGTGGTTATTAAAGTATCTCCCATAAGGTTTGCTATGAATAAATTTAACTGCGTATACAATCATGGCAGGCGTGCTTAGTCATGATACTGTAGGTGTTACAGAAACATCTCTACTAACATAAGAAAAAAGAAATACATCGTGGGGAAGGTCAACTTCAGCACAGGACTGGTCACGTTCCTTGTGCCAAAGAGTATAAACAGGGATGGCGCCAGGGGATGGGCCACTTTTGGGAGCCACATTAAAATTTGTTGGGGGTGAAAACAATAACTAGAATCACTTTCTAAACCAGAGACAGCTGGCCTTAGATTGCCATTTTCGGGCATTGAGATGTGACATAACCTGAATTATTTTCACCGAAAACACAACTGCGGTGGGTATGGTCCATTTGTCAGGGAATGATGGACCACCTGTAAGGGAAACGCAGATGCCACCGCTGAGAAAAAAATGGGTATCTAGTAGGAGTTTAATAACTAAAGATGGTTTGATGTTACACAACTAGTAACACTCACTCAGAAAGCAGGCAGTTGCATATGGTGTGCATGATAAACATACTATTCCATGACCAGGTATAATAACCAGAGCTTTTCTTAGCAGCTACTGGTCCTATTAAGTCTTGACTATTAATATTGCTATTAGTAAAATTTAAACACTTACTTTTAATAATTTTACTACCTTGGTTTTAACTTCGTGAAAAAAAAACAAAAAAAAAACTTTCCCAAACTACAAAATGAGCCAATTCAAAATTTGGTTATTTCCAAGGTTATTTTTTTGAAGTTTTCATCGAAACTATGGATAACAAAACAACTTTAAGTACTATTATAATTCAAATACATTTCTTTGGATATGTCCTCCCCTTACTGCAGCAATGGCAATGTTAGAACGAATAAAATATTAAACAATTTCTTTTGCTTGTATGTATTACACAAAAAGTTGCAGAAAGAGCTTACTTATGTTTTTTACTTTTAGCCCATACATTAATTGCATAGAATGCCTTAATCAATTTGGAAATACCTTTATCTTTTCCTGATAAATTGTTTATGATCAATAATACCTAATCAGACACACTGTTTTAAAAAAATATGTAACTGGAAGTACACTCAACACACACACACACACATATAGATAATCAAATTCAAACAGTAAATTTTCTAGTCTTATCGTCGACGTCATCTTCTGTATTAATATGAACGTATCTGTTTCATGTTAATAGCTTTAGTAAATGTAGAAAAATAATAACATGAATATATATAAATGTTGTGTTGTATTGCTGGTAGGTTTTGCAGTAAAAAAAATGCACATGTGTTTTATCATTTATGATTATTATATTTACAATCTGAATGTGGACTACTGTGCCAGACATTCAAATAACTTTCGCTCGTTAGTGACATTATGAGCATGTGTTTTAGTAAATATATGTCTGTTATGTTGTATGTACATGTTTGTATTTACATATGTTTATGAATGTAAAAATATATTTTTTCATCGTTTCTGATGGCAAATAAGAAAATGCTACTTTGTATGTGTACTAATATTGAATCTTATTAGTAATTTTTCTCTTAAATTCTCTAGCAAAAATGTTTAATATTATGTATTATTGTGTAGTGTATATAGTTATAAGTTATTTAATTTCAAATGTCTATGCTGAATTTGTATTAGTGTTTGTTTTGTTTGCTTACTGTTTGCTTATGTATCTTGAGATAAATTAATGTTGCATGTGTAAAGAGTTTGTTGTATATGATATATTTGAAGAAAGTTTTTAAACGAATGAAATAACTGACATTGAATATTAGTTAGTTACAATAGAATTCTTACAGGAATATTAGTGCGCCAACTAATGCGAGGCAAAGGTGACTATTTTCTTCTCAGTGTACCCCACAAAATGATCATCACAATTTCAAGTGCGTCACCGTGCCAAAATAAACACAAAACAAGGAAATATGGTATAACAATTAAAACCTTTGGAAGGTATTATTATAATTCTGTGGTTATGGATTAGGATTTCAATTTAGAGAATCACAATACATGAAAGTTGGCACTCTAATATTCATATAAAAAAACTATCATGGTTACATAACACCAATAGAAAGAAAATTTAGCAAAATTCTTGCGAGAAAGCTATCATAAAAACAAACAAAAGGCACAACAATCCTACTAGGAGAGGGTTCTTAAACTTACAAAACCCCCTCCTTACTACTATAACAGAATAATTAATACACCTATTAATTAATGAGGAACAACACTGTAGTAATCATATAGTAGTAAATGTTGCTATATAATAGTTCCATGTTCTAATCTAAATATTAAATATTCAATACATGGTTTAGACACGTTATTCTCATTCAATAAAGGTAACATGGAAACATTTCTACATTCTCCAAATCCAACGAAATGATGGAAGTATAACAGTGTATTTTAAAAATAGATCAGTAAGTATACCAGGGTTCTTGCATAACAATTTTGTTTATACCAATCCCAATATCATATATTGTACCCTATGATTTCATTATGGTCATTAACAATAATGACGTTTGTAATGACAAGAAATTTCAGACATTTTTTTTCCTTTGATAAAATATTTTCATGATATTTCCATAAATTTTGCGTAGTGTTTTCCATGAATACTGTAGTCATGGAAAAGAAAGTTATTAATTACATCCCATGAATTTTCAAGACTGCAAAACCCTGATATAAGTAACTACCTGTACTACAACTAAAGAACATCTAGCTAGGAATTTTTAAAAAACACCAAACAACAGAATTAGGCTTCAATTGCAATGGTTTCCTGCTAATAAATCTTGGGTAGTAGTTTGGTAAATCTAAGAAAACATGCATTTAAAAGTACTGTTTAAAAAACTCAGCAATTAAATGAATGTAGTTCTTTCTAAGAATTTGAACAAGAGAAGATAATTTTTTGGCAAAATAAGTGACCCTAGAATTGTTTTCTATAACATCCATTGCATGCATAAATAAACATAGGACTTATTGTTACTATTCTAAATGGATACAGTATAATTACTATGAATTTTGAGGTTATTTCAAACTAATAGGTTTATATCTTTAAATTTTAAAAAATTTAACCCAAGCATTTACCAGTTGGACTGGATTTTAATGATAAAGGTATTTGTACATCCCATCTCCCTATGCATGTAATATTTACATTTAAAAAATCAATACCAAAGAATATTAAACCACATAACAAGAGAACCTCGAATATGACATTAATCCAGATTTGCAGAATTTAAATTTGTAATACATTTAGTTAAAACACAAACAGGGACTGAGAAACCAATGTAAGCCCTTTTTAAAAATTTTAATATCAAATAACAAATAAATACTTTCTTTAAAAGAAAAGGAATTTCATAAACTAGAATATAACATTTGAATACCTGTAAACTATTTGATAAATTTCATATTTTTCTGATACAAAATTAATAAAAATTACTGGTTTTTTTCGATACCGGAGTTTACACGATTTTACCAGATTTAATATGATCATGCATTGTAAAAGCTTTGTAGTAGTTAAGTATATCTATACATTCAGTTGCATTTTGGCTTTTTGTATATTTTTTATCCTTTACCCAAATGCATTCTCACCAATCAAAATATTTCTATATTTGCTTTCATTATTTTTGTACATTTTCCAACCAAATTTTTGGCCGCTACCCATCAAATGCATGTGGTGGAATATTTGGTGGGTGAAAAATGGAATAAATGCAATAAAATAAATAGTTTTCTCTTCATGAAGACTTCATGTTTTGTCCAAACTACAATGATAAAATAACTCTTTATATATACAGATTTGTATATTATTTTTGGAAAAAACAAATAGCTTTAATTTCAGTAAATGAATTATTTGTAAATGTATGTATATGTATATATACACTACTTTGATATTTATTTGACTTAGTACATATCATAGCTTGTATTTTTTTATAGCTTTGATTAAAGTCAACTTTTAATAGGTTAACACGAGGGATAGCTGGTATTTCAAAATACTACATTATAGAACCATTTTCATGGAAAGAAATTTGTAATAATATGTGTGTATTCCAATTTATGAACCACACTTCCATTATATCTTGCACTTCTTCTGTGAGTATATTTTCCAAAAATGTACTGGGAAGTCTTCAATAAAAAAAAATTAATTAATATTGATGCGTCCACCCCTAAAGTTTCAACATCAAGGCAATTTTGTAACCATAGGAACAAAACATTTGAATATTAATTTGATAACAAAATACAATAACATAAATTTTGACTTGGTAATTTCTTTATCTTCTTCAATAAATTTGAATATTATGTACTATGAATATAGCTGTTGTCTATTTACATGTAATATTGCTGTGTAATGGAACCAAGGCTAATTTTTTCTGTTACAGATGAGTAAAAAAATAGAAAATATTATCATGCCTTCATGACAATAAATATCAATATCCTGCGATGCTAAGATATTTTAAACATGATATGTGTATGAGTTAGCCAATGAAAATTATACAAATACTTAAAACATTTAGTTATGTTCTACTCACAACTGTTAGGGTACCTCATATCAGTTAAGATAAAGGGTAATGTTTTGAAAGGATTCAAGTTCACACTGGTGGCGCTTCAGAATTGAAAGCCCTGCATTGGAACATTGTCTTGGGTTCCAAACTGGTATTCTTGCGATTCTGGGTCAACTTGAGGGGTAACTTTGTCGTCTTCTTCCTCCGTTCCGAAGTAGTGTTCTATAATGAAGGCGGCCTTTAGGTAGATATCATGGTTTTCATGGCTTTGCAAAAACTCAATCTTGTCAAGACCTAAAAATAGAGGGAAAAAAAATATTTTGTGGTACGTATTTAAACAATGAAGTCAAGTTTAAATCTACTATGGTAAAATGAAAAGCAGGAAACCTAAAGAAAACTGCTTTTCGGCACAATTCCATTAACAACGCAATGCGACGATGTGCATGACAAATCGTTTTCAATGACAATCCACTTAGCCTGCTATACAAATGAGCAGTGCGTGTCACTAGCACACAGCTGAGATGGATTAATCGACCAACACAGTGCATGTCCGGTAAAACAAATTCACATATTTAGGAATATACAAAGCCTATACAAATACAGACACTCATATCTCATGTGGATTACTCAAGACCTGTAAGATATTCTTAGTTCTGCCTTGTGAAAAATGGAGAAACATTAACATGATATTTTAAAATTTGGTCCAATAACTACCATTTGAAATTTGCTTACCAAAGCATTCTTCTATCATTTCAGCGTACGGGTTGATGCCATTGTCGCGCTGCTTAGCTTCTTGCTCTCCAAGCTTTAGTATATTTTCTAAACCGTTCAATGCAACTTGTACAATCTTGTTGTCCATTACTGTTAGCAAATCACACAGAGGTCGCACACAGCCCTCATGTATAATAAACCTGTAAATAAAACATTAACATTTTTATTACCGATAATAATCACAAATCTATCTATTAAAACATCTGAATTACATAATTTGTAATAAAGTGACTGACTGAAAAACAGACAATACAAAAACAAAAAGTGATCCACAAATCATTATATGGATGCTTAGAAAAATGCAGGACTTCTGATAATGCCCTATGGATAGATTCCTTAAGCCCCCTGACACATAGTATGGATGCCAGTAATAATCAGGTCTTCCATTAATGCCCCAATGATGGATCTCTACACTTCTTATCCATTGTATGGATGCCAGGAAGAATGTAAAACTTCTGTCCATGCCTCCCTTCATTTCTATTATAAATTTTAACCACAAACCGTATCTGCTCCGGTGTTCCACCCGACGTTGCATTAGTTATTGCCCAAGCTGCCTCTTTCCTGGTCTTGAACTCTGCTTTCCCAAGAATCTCAATTAGCATTGGAATAATATTAGCATCAATGACTTCCTGTAAAACAATGTAGGTAATGTAGTAAGTGAAGCGACATGCAGATAAAAAAAGTAGATAAATATAATATTAGCATCAATGACTTCCTGTAAAACAATATGTAGGTAATGTAGTAAGTGAAGCGACATGCAGATAAAAAAAGTAGATAAATATAATTGAAGGCACTGAATCCTACCAGTATTTACTCGATTTCTTCTAAAAGTCTATTTTCAAAAAAAAATCTTTTTAATGTCTATTTTCCACAATTATATTATTTTTTTGAAATGTTGGTTTTTCATGTGTTTTTCATAATTTGATATTGATGTTCCAAAATGTCTTCATACCTTTCCTAAACAACTTTTGAAAATTGTATGTTATTCAAGTTTCAAACAAAAATACAATGTTGTTAAAACCTCTTCAGTATCGTTACAATGATAGGCAGCTTAGTTATTATAAAGCTTTGCTTCCAAGCTTATGTAATCCTATGATCCTACACTAGTGTAACATGTTACCTCAGCTGTCAGTAAATGAAGAGGAGATTTATGATAATATAAAATACAACTAAAAAAAAAATATATTTTACCTGGATTTGCTGCCGGTTGCCAGCTGTGATATTGGAGATTGTCCAGCAAGCTTCCTTGCGGATTGATTCTTTAGGGTTGCTAAGTAAATGCAGGAGACTTGCTAATGCAGAACAATTCAAGATCACCTGAATCATGGAACAATAGATTATGAAAAAGGAAACATAAAAAAAATGAATACATTTTAAATATACAGAATGGATAGAAAAATATGTTCACCTTGAGCATAATATTTAATAAAAAATAAAACAAAATGATTAGGATGCACTTGACATTTAACCTCAATTATAACAAAAAACAATTAAAAAAATTTTTTTTTTAAATATACCATGAGTATAAACTGATACAAGACAATCAACATGTTGAGTGCCATATGGAAGGTTCAAAATTCATTTGCCAAAACAAATCCAGGTACTAATTACCTTGAAGGATAATTTATGCAAACATGAAGAAATGCAATAAAAAGGGTAAAAAAAAACAAAAAAAAACAACATTTTGATCTTCCTCCTACTCCCAGCCGAGTGAGCAAGAATATTTAATTTGCAAAACAAAATTATTAGGGTAGTCTACCAGAATGCTTCAATTGCATTCTTTTGTAAGTGGCAGAAGTTAGATACAAACTAGCGTTTGAATTGAAATACCTGTGTTTGTACATCATCTCCTGTGACAACGTTCCCAACGGCTCGTAACGCTGCAGACACAACACTTTGGGATGTGTGCCTGATAGAAATAAGAGAAAGCAAATACACTTCAGCAAACTGAATCAATCATAAATAAATAATTAGTAAATGACAAAATCACATACCACGTGTGGCTGTAACTATTGATTTAACATTAATAGCTATTGCCTTAACTTTAGTAACTAATGAATTACTAGTAACTATTGACTTACATTAGTAGTTCTACCAATCTGCGACACACACCACTGTCAATGACAGCTTGTATCTTCTCGTTAGGCCCATCAGACAGGTAAGACAAAGCCCAACAGGCGTCAGCTAGAACATCTTGGTCTGAACTAAACAGAAGCCTTGACAGGACAGGTAAGCATGGTGATACCTATAAAGACAAACACCAAATGCAAGTGAAACACACTGCATTTTTTCACAATGTGATGCCCATAACAGGAAACATCACACCAAGGAAATAATCAGGAAATGACGGCATCAAAGAAGCATTTTATCTAACCTCTATTAAATAATCTGCATGTTTTTATTACAGTTTGTTATAAATTTTTCTGTTATTACTACATTCAGTTTAGTCTCATCATCATCAGTCATAACTCTAAAATATATTGGTTGCTTTTGACTTCAAGACAGCGAATTAGCATTCTGGGAGTATTAGCAATTGTAGCTTATGAATACCTTATAGCAAAAAATGATTAATCTAACACCTTGGTTGGAATGATAGGGACTCGGGAGACAAAAGAACTTTGCCGTGGTTAAATACCATGTACATTCAACAGGCCCGGGAGTGGACAGGGCACACAACCCACTCTTTAATTATAATAGTAATGACCACTCTTGTTCAAAGCTTAATTATTTGGTCCCCAGAGAACTCAATGGATCAAAACCAAGTATCCCAACTGAATAACCACGCTTACCTTTTCAAATTCTGGTGCTGGATTCTTCCCCCGGCATAGATTAGACAGAGCCCACACCGCATTCCTTGTCATGGATATTCTAGTTGATTGAGCAAGTAACCTGTGCAGAGATACATTGTCATTGTTAGGTCATTATTTTTCAATGAAAAATATAATACGGTAATGAGTTTATTTCTGCCCATTCCATTTACTGTACCTGTAGAAATAAGAAACAGTCGTACACATGTTTCTCACTCCATGTATATATAATTTCTCATAGCATTGGATAGACTATTAAAAGTGTCAGATTATTTTTTGTAATGAATTTAATAAAGCTCTGTATAAATTCATTGTTTATTAATACGCCAATTGTGATGTCATCATATGATTTTCAATGCAATTTTCCTATCCAATTTCAAGCAGTAATTTACAAATAGTGCACATGATATATTTTACTTCATCTATTCAACAATAGCTATGAGTGAGTTAATTTCTGCCCATTCCATTTACCAATAGAAATAAGGAAATGTCAAACACATTTTTTTTCACTCCATGTATATATCATTTCCTATAACACTGGATAACCTATTAATGCAAGTCATAGATCAATTTTTGTAATAAATTTAATCAAGTTGTGTATAATTTTCCTTGTTGATCTATATGCCAATTGTGATATCATCATATGATCTTCAATGCAATATTCCTATCCAATTCCAACCAGTAATTTACCAATAGTGCATATATATTTCACTTCATCCATTCAACAATAGTTTTGAGTGAGTTTATTTCTGCCCATTACATTTACCAGTAGAATTAAGAAACTGTTGAAACACATTTTTGTTCACTTCATGAATATATCATTTCCTATACTAGCATTCGATAGCCTATTAATTCAAGTCACATGTTATCTTTTGTAATAAACTTCTTTTCAGCTCTGTATGCTTTTCTTTGTTGATTTATACGCCAATCGTGATGTCGTCATATGATCTTCAATGTAATTTTCTTATCCAATTCCAAGCAGTAATTTACCAATAGTACATATTATATTCAACTTCATCCATTCAACAAAAGCTAACATTATTTTCCGTCCATATAATGCGATACAATATTCAATGCAATTGCGATGCAATGTTTCTTGTTTATCCCTAGAATGAGTGCCTACCAATTTTTTATACTTACGAAAGTAAGGGTGGCAATATGGCACAATCCAAAACATAGTCCCTACAATCTGGGCTGTCGCCTGCAATATTGCCTAGTGCCCAAACAGCCTAAGGAAAAGAAGAGCATAAAATATGTACCATTATACCTGATTCAACCATGCCATTTTCTACATTATTACTTTAGTTACTATGAACATCTCAATGTAATAAATCTTTAGTTTATGGATTTTATCATACTATCAAAATTGAGCATATTTCCTGATAATATCCTCAAAGCAATCTATTACATGGATTCATATCTCATAAACATAGTTTTCTTATAGGGCACATGGGTATTGTTTTATCATGAGTGCAATCATTTGTTTTTTATTTCCTTTTATATTCTTCATAAAGGGATTCTCCTATTACAAGGCACTTTAGTGACTTTCATGGGTTATCTAGGTTCCTAATTAATTCTAGGTAATCACTTTTTTTCCCACATTGTATATTTTTAAAGAATTCTGATGTCTTCTATACTGGATACTGCCTTTTTCTTTTTGGAACTTAGCAACCTAATAAGGTTACTATAGGATTTGTTTATTGTATTACATATACTGCACAAGGCTTTGTAATTTGGAAAAACTTGCGGGTTTTAAAAATCTGAGAAAGACATCATCATTAAATGTTAGGGTTGCAAACACAGTAATTGGGAATCTATATGTACTGTACCTACACCATGCACATAATCATTTATAGACTCAAAGCAATAAAGGGGAATTGCTGGAAAATGAATCAATAAACCCAAATCTCCAAGTGAAATAAACACTTACTTTACATATTATTTATAGTGTCTGTGTTAAGTTAATACTTAAGCAATAAAATTCCATAATTGAATGCTTATTTTGTCTATAAAGCAAGCTTACAGAATGTCTTAAAACCAGTCTTTTCAATTGAGTTTAGGGCATTTTAGGGCTGGGCTTGGTAGTTTTCGCAGTCATTTCATTTTTATCTTTTTATGATTTACTACCACTGATTTAATTTGACTCATGAAAACATACTCTGTTGGTTTTTGTTGGGGTGGGCTGTACTTGATGGAAATATTCATTATAGTGGAGGATAGTTAAACGCTTTGTAACCACTAGTGCTAGGATCAAGTAAGGATCAAGTAAGAAGTATTAGAAAACTAGAAATTATTTTCTTCACCAATTATCAGATACTCAATACTCAATAAATTTTATTTGTCAACAATAACAATAACAACAATACAGTAGTTAGTTAATTATTTACTATCAATTGTAGTTTGTACTGTAATCTTGTTCATCTATCATGTGACAATAATGTTAATATTAAAACATTAAAATATGTATTGAAATTGGCTTATCATTTTGCTATAAGAATGCCAATAACATCAGGTAATTGGAAAAAGAAAATCTATATTTTTAATTAAAAAGTTAAATAAACATATTGAAATATACAAATTAGGCAATTTATTTTTCGTTTACTTAGTAAGTATATGTTTTTATTAGATTTAGTAATGCTTTTTTGTACAGTGTAATTTTGATAACCATTGTTCACTTACTTGTTCTTGTACATCTTCATTCTGTAAGTATATGTTTTTTTTAGATTTAGTAATGCTTAACTACAGTGTAATTTTGATAACCCTTGTTCACTTACTTGTTCTTGTACATCTTCATTCTTTAAGTATATGTTTTTCTTAGATTTAGTAATGCTTTTTTCTACAGTGTAATTTTGATAACCATTGTTCACTTACTTGTTCTTGTACATCTTCATTCTGTAAGTATATGTTTTTATTAGATTTAGTAATGCTTTTTTGTACAGTGTAATTTAGATAACCATTGTTCACTTACTTGTTCTTGTACATCTTCATTCTGTAAGTATATGTTTTTATTAGATTTAGTAATGCTTTTTTCTACAGTGTAATTTTGGTAACCCTTGTTCACTTACTTGTTCTTGTACATCTTCATTCTGTAAGTATATGTTTTTATTAGATTTAGTAATGCTTTTTTCTACAGTGTAATTTTGATAACCATTGTTCACTTACTTGTTCTTGTACATCTTCATTTTGTGCTTTTAGGAGCATAATAAAAATGGGTACAGCTCCTGCTTCTATTACTGTTCTCGTTTGAAGTGATGTACCGGATGCGATGTTTGTTAATGCCCACGCTGCTTCGAACTGCAAGATATTTACGGAATAAAGGGGGTTTGTTAATGCCCACACTGCTTCGAACTGCAAGATATTTAGGGAATAAAGGGGACATGGCTATAAAACATTACATTTTCAACTGTTGTCACAAACAGTCCTTCAAAGTCTTAAAATATTGAGAGAAAAAATTGTTCACTTGGTTACAGTACTGTATCTCTTATCTTCAAATGGTTCTATAATCTTTTTTTTTTTTTTTCTTATTCATGTTTCCTATTAATTGCAGGTTAGTTTAGGTGTCTCAAATAATAATGAAAGAATAAATAATAATATTATTATCTCAGAAAACATATGGATCAAACTGTCTTAAGGTCAGTTAACAAGAAACTCAAATTTAAATTTCATGGAATAATAACATACTGTATGTTGGGGTCTCTCTCCATCCAACACTACAGGAAATATGTCATCACACAAAAACATGCAACAGCTTCTTGTTTGAGACATACATGTACAAATAGAAGTTAATGAAATAAAATAATATTTAAACAAACAAAGGATGTTGAATCATGAAAAATTTGGAAAGCTGAAAAGGGGAATTAGTATACTGTAGTGAAATTTTAATGCAATATTTGATTAAGAATTGCATTGAATTCACAGCTTAAATTTCCAATTTTGACTGGAAACAGTTCTGACAGAGAATTTGTTTGACCTTATAATTCTAGAAATGAGGAAATTTGATTTTATGTAATAAACTTCCTAAATGAACTCCACATGTCATTGAAAATGAGTATTTGCAGTGTGAATGAGCTGTGCCTATCATTCAACCAAACACATCAAATACCACAGATTAAGTTTTAACATCAATAGTGTATATATGAGTATTAATGATTATTTAGAAAAATGAGAACATAGGCATGTACAGCTGAATTTATCATCAGATTATTAATATTTCTTGATATCAATTCAAAACAAATGACGTTAAAATCCTACTTCAAAAATCTATAGAGATATTGTATGTTCAAATATTCACATTGTTTTTTTATATATAGTTTTTTGTGTACTTAACCAAATTACTAGTAAACTGAGCTCTTTGTCAGATACAAGTATTGTGTTCAAGAGATTTGCGAAAATCTGATCTTATTATTATTACTATTATTATTATTATCACAGGCCTCGAATTTGGGGATTTTATGGGCAAGGCCAAATGGCCTCAGGTATGACATGACTTTGAAAGGCACCAAGGCCAAATAGAAAGGCACCAAGGCCAAAATTTCAAGTATAAAAGGGCACACAAGGCAAAATTTGATTTAGCCTCAGTACTAATTTCTCGCGAGTGCCTTGGTTTATGTTAATTTTCGTTGTCAACAATACTCAACGAAAATTCGTTCCAATGAAATGAACCAGTCGAATGAGCCCATGTTTATTGCAATAACCGCTAGAGTAAGACGCATGCGCACACAACGGTAAACGCAAAAACAGTTTGTATCAACCGTATCAACACACATGGAAATTCTCTCAATGTTACATATTTACATGTTCTCTTCTGTCACTGCAACCTGGCCAAGGCTAGCTTAGGCGACCTACGTTTTTGGCTTTCGTGTTTTCTTTAAACGTTCTTACTTAGATTTATTTTACGTGTCAAACGATCTATATTAAGCATTGTGAGGGCACCGAGGCCAAGGCTTTAAAAGGGCAGGCAAGTAGTGGCCATCGTCGTGCTTCATTTTCAGGGGCACCAAGGCCAACTGGGAGGGCACCGTCGGCAATGGCCGCGGTAAAATTCGAGGCCTGCAATTATTAATATTATTATTATCATTGGTTTAAGTAGTATATCCACTCATATTTCTAATTTTTTTTATCATTGAACTCATTGAAAAACACCTTAAGTAAACAAAATTGTGAATAATGTTTTTCATAAAGTTATGATAAAAAGCAGCTACCAGATGTTAAAACCATTTCCTAAATAGTGTACATACTGTACTCAACATTAAACATTAAATCTAGTCATATTATTTTAATTATGCAAATATGGAGATCAAATATTACAGACATAAAATTGCTCAGTGCAGTTAGCTTGGTGAGATGATTTCTATGTGGTAACCATGGTAATAGCAGATGCAGGATATTAAATATTTACTGGTTAATCAGAAAAAATTCTCAAAAATTCAATTAAAAACATTGAATAGCAGAATGAGATGTAAAAGTTAACAATTTCCAATAAGAGAGAGATCAAAAAGTTCAGATTCTGTCAACTTACAGACATTTTATAACAATAATCATTAAATTGGTTTACAAGCCTAAAAAGATATTGAACTGTATTATTTAAAAGTGAGCTACTGTAGAAAGATGATTTGTTTTTACTAGACAGGATTTTTTTATGTCACAAGTATTTATAGAATCAACTTAAAATTTAAATCATATAGCGGTGCTATATGATTTTTCGGTTTCAGTAGCTTACACTGATGTCACGCTGCTAACGGGTAAATCGTAATAACTACATAAAAAAATGCCAAAAAAAGATTTTATGGTTGATTCTATTAAAATTACATATCAAAAATGCTCTCTAGAAAAAAATATCATCCCTCTAGTTCCCTTTTAATGTCTTTATATTAAAAGCGAGGTAAAATATTTCTCTTCTTTCAATTGTAGCTAATAATTTACTTAATTACAAAGAAAGCAATTTAATTATTGAATTTAATTAAATTTCAAGTTTATTCGCAGAACATACCTTTAAGGAAATTACTGTACCTAGAGACCGATTGGTTACAACCAACAGAGAGATCAATATTTCCTACAATTTATGATATGAACGGTTTAATAAACCTTATTTCCTATTAGATGAAAGAGTTCTTTGAAATTTCTCTGACAGTTTAATTCATATTTTGCTGATATTATTTGTAGATTTCAATAGTGAGTGGCATGTAGATTAAGTTGCAACATCAAAATACAGCTGTCTTGAATTTATGTATAAACTGAAAAGATCATGTGAAGCATAGAAAATTCCCTATCACCATCCACAGCACTACATACAAAAATATTTAGAGGTTATAACAGCCAGTTGATAGAGTGTATATCTCCATGTCCCTATATACTAAATATCAGAAAGTCAAGAACCAAAAACTCCCCATGACCTTTGACCTTTTCAATCTAAAATTTACTCATCTTCAATTAGACTACTCCATTTTTTCTATGATGATCCACTTATTAGTTTTTTTTTAAACTCATTATAAATGGGTTTTTTTTCAATATTTGTGACCTTAAGCTTGACCTTTATGAATATTCATGTATTCAATTCTTACACTAATATGTACTTGATTAACTATTTTACTTTTTAATTAGCCTTTGATTGGAAAAGTATGGGTATAAGAAAAATTGAAAATTAATCAAAATTTCTAACCCAACACAATTTTTCTCACTGTTAACCACAGCACTAGCACTAGTTCTATTTCTAAATTGTTTACTTAGTCCCTTTAAATGTTTACAGTAGAGTCTGTAACCCTATATAAATGAGCTAGTCAATGTTTAATTTGATTTTTTTTTAGAACAGTATATCTTATGTCAGTAGTTAATCATTAACAAATTAATAATTCAGTCCAACAGAATATTAATATTTAATTCAAAATTCAACAGTTTGTCAGTGAAACTACAACACAAGTTTTTTTTTTTTAGCCAACTTAACGACATCATAGATTTAATAACATTTATGTTTTATCAATTTAAATGAGCTAGTCGATGTTTAATTTGATTTTTTTTAGGACTGTCAAAAGTACAGTATGCTTTTAAATGTCAGTACTTAATCTCTAACAAATGAAAAATTGTGTCCAATAGAATATTAATAATTAATTCAAAATTCAACAGTTTATCAGTGAAGCTACAAGCTTTTTTAAACCAGCTCAATGACATCATAGATTTAATAACATATTAGATTACAATCTTCAAATAGACATCCAATAAAAATATAAATGTAATGAGTACTGTAGTTTAAGACAAATTGAAAAGAACTGCCCCAGTTATTGGGATGTAGAGGGTATTCAAAGTCAACAGTGATTAAATGTAAGTGGATATCTGTATGAAACATCGTACCTGTAGTGTATACATAGCTTCACCTTCCTGTTGTAAAAATTCGACAAACCGGGGAATAATTCCTGTTTGAATGACCTCATCTATTGGTGGATTTGGCTCTGTAAAATTAAATAAGAAAAAAATCTTTCAAATTTGAAATTTAAAGCAAATGACTTCTCCATGATGAATAATTTATAAAGGTGAACAAACTTATCTATTTGGTTAGTGGCAATCTGATATTTTTAACATAATGAGGGTGATCAATATATTCATCCTTGCTGTATAAGTAAACACCCTCATTTCTATGTTGTTTGACTGAATAGTGGACAATATTTTTTTATTGCTGAACCATAGACAAGACTCCTCATTATCATATGTGATATGATAATATGGTTAATTACTCCATCTCTTGACTTCTGTTCAGTTATCTATAACTCAATATCTCAGACTCATTCTTAGACCGGATTCACAACAAATTCATAAAGTTCATCGGCCCAGCAGCCGGTTCGCTAAGATGTGAACAATTTTTACCATCTAAAAGACACAAACGAAATGACCTTATTTCTCTTTTCAAATGTTTAAACTCCAAGTTTGATTGTGACCTTGTTTCAAATTTTTATTTTTATGTTCCTGTGCGCAAGCTTCGTATTAACTATTTGTTAAAAGTTCAGTATTCTCATGTCAATGTTTGTAAAAATGGTATTTTTTCGTCGTGTTGCTCCTTCTTACAATAATGTAGTACAAATTTTCCCCATATCGATATGTTTAATTGTAATATTTCTACTTTTAATGTAATCTTCACTAGGCCTATTTAATATTTAATATGTAAAAATGAATTTTTATGCAATTTTATTATTTTTACATATTTTTATATCATATTGTATTTTTATGGCGACCCTGTTTTGGTGTTTGACACACTGTTGGGTCATAAATAAATTAAAAAAAATTTAAAAAACCATAAATTAATAATATTATCTAAAAGATAAATATTCATAAGCCAAATTGCTTTTAGATAAATACTTTTTGGAAATTACTTGAATATTTAAAAAATGGGTCTCTATATTTTAATTTTTTGACATAAAAATTCCCAAGGCAAATGATCTACAAATGAATATTTATACTAGGTTAAAAAGTAATATAAAAGAAGAATATTAAAGACATGCGGAAAAATTATACTTTAATGACCCAATCCAAAATATGAATATTCATAAAGGCAAATGATCTTCCAATTACTTTTCATTTAATGCATTTGATAAAATATAATAAATTTAGTAGAGTGATCTTCCTAAGTACTATAGTGTAAACCATAAACCTGGTTCATACAATGGTACAAAAAATGCTTAAAAGATTGAATAATACAACACAATTCAAATTACATCCTTTCCTGGTCTAAACAATCCAATGAAAAGCATTTCCAAACACAGTTATGATAATGTTCTAGGAAATTAGATAACATTTTAGAGGAAGTAAAATTTAGACTTGGCATTGTCTTATTCATAGCTGAATCATCTTTGAAATTTCCAATGGTGAGTCAAATAAAAGTTCACTGACCTTTTGACAAAAGTTTTCGAAATTTCTGTGTAGCTTTCAGTTGGAGTTCCTGATTTTCAGACATAATATCAGACACCATTTCTGCTGTTATTGTAGGCTGTTGACAAAATTTAAAGATACTATAAGTGTTAAAAATTGGTTCTATTAAATTTCTAAATTTCAATTTAAAGAGGAAATGTTTTATATAATTAACAATATTAATTCTGCACCTTGCTTTACACAATCCATTTTATTTACAATATACCAGGAAGATGAGTACACAAACAAATATAAAGTTCTTTAAATCCAGCAATATTGACACAAATCAAAGAAATTTGGAAAAGTTAGCATTTAGTTCTATAAATTCATTTCTTACTTTCATTACAAAGATGATGACACACATTCAAAGCCATTTGAAAATGTTAGTAGTTACTGTATGTCAATTTACAATCTCAATTCTTAATTTCAATTCAATCATTCAAATTTAATTTCAATTCATGTTATTTATAGTATGCTTAAAAAGTTTTATACACCGCTTTTACAGCACACTACCAAAGTGTGTGAGCGGTTTTATCTCTGGTCATTGGATTTGAATTAGCAGACAAGCAGAATGTGCAAGCCACTCTGCCCCTAGAGGATAATCTTACCGTAATCTTAAGAAATGCACTGAGCACACAGATTTCAAAAAATCATAAAAGAATACATAATCTGAATGACCAGATCTCTCATTCTTTTCTTACACTTAATTCTTGAAATATAACTTCTTTTATAGAAAATTTCTATCAAATCATAATATAAATTACCACAAACACTAAACATTAATTATTCTGTTTCAAGTTTCTTTGCTCTGTAGTTAGAATTGTTGAGCTCATACTATATATCTCAATAATTTGTTAAAAACTAACAAAACAAATCAGATATTGGATGTTTGGAAAACTTTATGAAATATTGATAGGATTAATTTGTAATACTTACCGTTCCTGTGCTAGATATGATTGGATCTTGTATAAACATTTCATCTTGGTCTGTTACATTTCTTCTTTTAAACAACTGTAAACAAAGAATACAAATGAATAAAATACAAAAAATAAATTAAAATTTAATTAACACTGCACAATCTACTATACTACTCTTTGCACATAGTACTGTAAACCCTTAAATTAACTGGTTTAAATATTACTGTATAATGTAGTACTGAAGGTTTGATATGGGAAAAAAACTCATGATTTTTATAGTTAATCATACTGTATCTATAACTAAAATACTGTATTTACCTATATTTGCATGGGTTTTCAGAAATTTCATTACCTAAATATACTGTACAATATAGACACATGCAACTATGGTGTTGCTCTTATCAATGGATGTTCTAATGAGTTACACAATTAAAATTGCATGGTACCATTTTTTTTTACCAAAATTCACAGATATTCTAATAAAGTATGAGCCACACTATCAACAAAGCAGATAATTAAATGCTAGATGCAAACACAAGAGTCATGTTTGTGAATGTCGCCGATGACAACATAGCAAATGTTCACATCACATTTCACACCTGATTCATTTGTGGAGCACCTGTCCAACATATTCCTACAATCTTATTTATTAGATTAGTTTACTTCACTCACTTATATGTTTCACATTTTCGCCTCCATCTTATGTATTGCTGTAATGTCATGTCAAATTTAACATGTTCTACTATTACTAATAATACTACTAAGATTCTTTCATTCGATTTTATAAAAATCTCTACTTGTCGGTGTTCTTTTTCATTAATTTCTCTTTCCTCATTGGCTTTCGCAAACTTTTTCATTTTTTTTATAAGTTCAAGAATTGTATTTTTGATTGTGATGTGTGTCCTGGTTTTCTGTGACAACTGTCTTTCAAATGTACTCTCTTAAGCCTTTTATTTATTCGTGCAAATCAAAAGCGCTGGTTAACTTCCTAAGTTCTGATTTGTTGCGCATTTTTTTGCTTCGCAAAAAGTAGAAACAGTTAGACCTACAGTGTACTGATTTTGCTGAAGCTAAAAACCCAGATAGAAATGTGAATGTGTATGCGCATGAACTAACGCTTTCGATTCGAGCAAATAAATTTGCAAAATGTTCTGTATTAGCGTAAACAACTATAAATGGCAGTTTTAAGGTTTTAATGACAAAACTGCTAATAATATTGTATATCTAGAGTACTGTAGATGCATGTTCCAACCGTGCCCCTTGTCTATATTGTTTTAATTTTAAACTGTACAGTAAGTTTTAAGAATAACAAGGAACTAAGATTATTTGCAAATTAAACTAGAAAAATGTTTGGAGACTGCCTCGAATAAATTGTCAGGTATAGAAAATACATAGAGGTAATGATTACAGTATATAATATGTGGATAATCTTTACTTTAATAAAGAACATACAGTGCATGTATACTGCATTATAACGTTTTACATTATTACCGCGGCCATTCCACAAATTTCACTGCGAATGTATTTCAAGTTCATATAGCGTATCAAGCCCAGCAAAGCATTTCACATTAGTACCCCAGTCATTGGATCAAACAACTATGAAACACATATTCAACTCCCTAAGGAAAAATAAACTCCATACTCGAAACTGTAATCAACATTTGAGCCTAGCAGGTGAAATTCACAGCGCATGTTCAAGCCTCTGACTTCCACGGTAAGAGCCCAAATCATATCTGCTTCACCAACCGCGTAAGAAGCAATGGAAAGAACTTATTTTTAAAAGTAGACCCGAAATCAGCCAATGACCACCGACTCTTCCATTGGATCAGGCACGTTTGGAAACGACACTCGCTCTGGTAATATTGTATAATCTGTGACTGGCATTAAACCAAACTAGGTACTACTGTACTTTAATTGAAGAGATAACACTGAATTTAGTGCCTTGCCAAACAAACCCAAGCACATGGTCAAGCTTATACTCAAATTTTAAAAGTCCACTTTATTCCTTACTGCACTATGCTAATCGCTTTCACCAGCAGTAATGAGATTACTGTAATATGTTTTGCTCATGTAGTCATGTAGTTCATTTCATGACCACATTCGGATACAGAATATATTGACATTTCTTTACCAATCAATATGTAATTATCTCTAAATTACAACCTACATTACTTCACTTATGCAACAAGAGTATAGATGATATCGATGAAGAATATTTTTAGGGTAAATTAACATAAGAATTAAGACTAAATGATGGATGAGGTACTTAGATAAAGATTAAAATTATATATTCATTTATTAAGCATCATACTCTACATGTGTACAAATGAAATTTGTTTTTCCTGCATTTAAACTATAAAAAAAAAAAAGAAATATTAAGAATTTAAAATTAATTAAAAGATACTAAACAAAATGCTGCAGAAATACTATACTGTATCATTACTAAATAGAATTACTAATTTTAATACTGTACAATTATAACAAGGAATATTTACAGTAACTGTACAGGTACTGTAAAAAGAATATATTTTACCTTTTAATTTTTATCAAAAACACTTAAAGACTATACAGACACAAGATACAGAGAAAGGAATGATTTGATGTGAAAGAATCTAATGAAGATTCCGACAAAAATTAGGGCCCTGGGGCTGGATTTATCAAACCAGCTTTTAAGCTCGAAAAGTCTTAAGCTTGAAAAATCATCCTAACACCTAGAGAATGTTTGTCTTAAATCCATCAGATTTTAACATACCTTGCAATATTACTAGTTCCTTAAATCTGACTTAATATTTAAAATACAAAAGAGTGAAATGCTTAAGATGAAAATTTTCATTGCACTCCTATAGTATGAATTAATACGGTATAACAGGCATCAATGCGGTAGAGAAGTTTTTGAAAGTGCTTAAAATTGAACAAAAGGTAAAAAATACCAGCATACCAGAGGAATTCAAAAACAGACCTAATTTTTGATATTTGTATTTCCTCAATTAAATATGTTGCACTTCTAGCACATTTTCTACAAACTGTGCATTGCTAGAACATTTTTGTTTCCAATTAGTAATCATGAAAACATGCTCTCTTATATCTCTAATGACCATACACAGCTAAAATGAGCAAAATCTTTTATTTTAATCAATTTTATTTATGCTGAGCGTTATCAGAATGTTTATAAACTATAAAGACAATGTAAAGGTTGTTTTATAAATAAGCTTTAAGTATGACAATAAAACTCCTGTGATACTTTGTCTTCAGTTTGCAACATGCTTAAAAACCAACCTACAGTATGAATGAGTATCAAGTCAGCTGGAGCATCAATTAATTCAATTAATCGCTTGATACTGAGTATCTGTTCAAGCCATGAATCGGCGGCTGGTTTGTTAATTACCATTCCAAGACTGCAGACACACCTTCAAATTCAAACCATGAATTTAGCCTTCAAATTCAATAGACAATGGTAATGTAGTAGCGTAGCATTCTCATGAAATGCTACTGCACTCGGTCACGTCCTCTGCTTTATATATATCATGGGAAAAAATTAAAATGTTTAATGTTCCTTTCTTATTACTATTTTTTAAATAGAAATTTAGAAGCTTCATGTAGATGTTTAATTATGAATATTCATATTTACTTCTGTGGAACAGTTCAAGGTACAGTAAAAAAATTTTGAGGACATTTGTATAATTTGCATAATTTATATCTCAATGTATAATTTACATTTTAATTGCTTTTCTGATATTTATATTGTCAAATTTTTTTATGTTTATATTTATCTACATTTTTAAATATATTTATAATTAATACACCTGCATAGATATACCATCTTTTATTATAGTATACTGTATTCACCCTGAGACATTCTAGTTTAGACCCCATTGAAAATAAATTAACAGTAGTTGATTTTATGGGTCCATGCATCAATTATCCATTTTAACAAGCAATATATTTTGCATGTCATTGTTATTTTATTGTACATTGTGTTTGAATGGATGCTAAATAAATAAAGTAAGGCTATATTTGCCATGATAGGACCTTTGGATACATCTTGTTTCACATCAAACAACTAAACAAAAAATGACAGAAAATGAAACAAACAAAATCAAGTTTAAGATTCTGAGAAAACGGAACATGTAGGAGATTACAGTAGTGAAACAAGGTACTGTAGCAACAGTCAACACAGATTGTCACAGATAAACTTCATTAACGCGTACAAGTATAGTGAAAAACATTACATAAATGTGGAACTATTATAACACATAATTATCATCAAAATGATTTATTACGTAATCATACAGACAGATAATTCTAACCTGTAAAGTAGAAATGTGTGAGAATGACGTAGCTGCCATTAGATTTGTTTACTTTACAGTCATTTGGGGAGGGGGGATGTTCATTTAATTCAAAAATAAACACACCCAGGGTGTTTAATCAAGGGAGGCATTTATTCCAAGAAATTAAAGGATAGCTTTGGGTGATGCTGATTGGCCGATCGAATCGGGAGCTTTCGCAATTGCATCAGGGACTGCTACACAGTACGATTACACTGAAAAAACTGTAGCAACAGTGTACAGTAGCAATTGCATAGAAACCAAGTTTGACAATTTATGACGTATGCAACAAGATAGTTCACCAAAAGGTAGTAGCGGTGAAAGATAATAATCATCCACTCAACAGTAATTATCAATGGATAAATATAGTAGACGGCATAGAGCTGGACAATGCACGAAAATTAATGATTCTCAAATCAATTTGTTTCATGCTCCTTCGGATTAAAACTCATTTAGATTTAATGAAGAATATATTACTGTTATGAGTCTATGTTTGGTTTTTTCCTTTAACCCTTTGAGCAGTATCATATCAATTTGAATTTCCGAAAGGCCAACTAAAGTGAACTTTGAACTAGAAACTAAATTATATATCACTCATTAAACATTTATGTCCATCATTTGCATACACAGTCTATATGATGAAATTGAAAATGTATGATGAGCTTTTTTTTTAAATATTTAACAGGAAGCAAAATATTGGACTTCAAATTAAATTTGTTGAATAATATATAGTAGAACCTCGATTTTACGTACGGTACGGGACCGGAGGGCGTACGTAAATCAGGGGATTCGTAAAATAGAGGTTGGGTTAAATTTGTGGTAACCTTTGACCTAATACGTACGTAACGCTCAATATACGTACGTATGAACGAACGATTTTACCTATAGCTAGGCTAGACCAAGCCTCTAGGCCTACAAATAAAACCATGTGTTTCAAGTTTTTATTCATCACTTTACGATGTCATAATAAAGTGTTCAAATAACTTGGGAATTCCCCTTCATGCCTATTTTAAACAACAGAGCTGTGGTGTTGTCTGGGCCTGTTGAGACAAACTAAACCCATGTGCGCTGCACTGGGCGAGCCAACCAATTAGCGTTCATGTACATGAAACAGCAAACATGTGCACTGCACTGGGAGAGCCAACCAATTAGCGTTCGTGTACGAAACTATGCCTACTCAGCTTCGTGTAGAAAATTAGACAAGTGTTTCCATGGTTTGCCACACGAAGCTAAGGAGAAAAGCAATTATTTTGAGCACCATCTGTAGTTGTTCATCTCACTCAGTTCATGTGGTTTTAGATTATAACAACCCGGTATTAGACTCAACCAACGTTGCTGTTTAATGAAAATACGTTGCATTATGGTTTGTTTATAGTTATAGTTTATTGTTATAGTCTTTTTACATATTTTTGCTCTGAAAAGGGCCGTTTGTTTTGAATATTGTCGGGGTTTTTGATGACGTCATCGTCGATACGAGGCGTACGTAAAACCGAGGGTTCGTATAACTGGGGTACGTAAAAACGAGGTTCTACTGTACTTTTATTTCTGTACAGAAAGCTAATACAAAATACCAGTTGACATCCAAAACCAGTGGTGGATTTGAAAGAGGTCAGCCACCCACCGAATCCCTCTCCCAACCCCCAACAAATAAATTTTTCATTTTTTGAAATGGAGAAAAAGAAAATTATATTCAAATTTTTGGAGTGCCATTTCTAGTCATCTACAGGTGCCACAATCAAATTTTCTTGGGAGGGTTGGGGCTGAGGTGGTGGAGACCCTCATCTTTGAAAGTCCCTCCCTGCGCCCCCTCTATACAATTGCTGGAGCCAAGACTGAAGTGACTACGTGTATTCAATGTTCAATATTAAATTCTGCCTCACCTGTTCCTCTCTTTTTTGCTTGCGAAGTTGCACGCCTTCCTCTTCTCGGCGTCTCCTCATCTCTTGTAAATCTTTGTCCTTGTTCTTGTAGGCCCGTAGCCTGTTGTTTTCTTTGACAGGTGTAGCCATCATATTTCTTCTGTTTTTTCAGTATGCTATTTAAGAAAAAAAAAATGAAAACAATAGAAAATTTTCAAAAAATACCTATAAGTATATTGTTTTGAATGTCAATTAAACATCGTTAACACTGAGCAGTGTTATTTTACATACAGAGTCTGATAATCATTCTGGTACTGGTACAGGCATTTATCGCGCCTTTTCCTTGAGGTTATAAAGCGCAGTTCTTATCCCTGGTCATTGGGTCACATGCTTTAAATGCTGTTGCTGTGATCAGCGTAGAGCAGGCAACCCCACCAGGTACACATTGATATTCCTGGGTGGAGAGAAGCAATGCAGATAAAGTACTTTGCTCAAGGACACAAGCAAAATGCACAGCGAGAGATTGAAACCCCGACCTGGAGTTTGAGAAACCAAACCTTTACAGTAAGGAAATTCAGTTAAAAACTAAAAATTCTCACAATAATTTAATGCTTTTCACATTTACAATATACTGCAATGGCTACTGTGTCTCAGATGTACATTACTAAAGGGCATACTGTATGAATCAAAAACTGCAGACTGTTTACTGGTAGTTTGGACTGTACAGTCTGAGGAGGCTTAATCCTGGTGCACTCCAATCCCTCGTGTTCCTATTGATGAAAATATAAGATAGAAATACGACTAATAAACTGTAATTTGAACAATGGCTTTAAAAACTAGGGTGGGGGAAATAAACCAACAATATTCGTATTATAATATTACAATGCATGGCTTGAATTCTAATCAGTTGGAAAGTGGCTGCTAGTACATTTGGATACAGTATCTAGGACACAATTGCAAGATATATACGGCTTGACCACACACAGCAAATTGCATTTGCACTCGGCATTCATCTTGACAGTCACACCCATACAGATTCAGCAGACATCTGGCAAATGTACTAAGTGAGCACGGATGTATTATGAATTTAAGTACATTACATGTTCTAAATGCGACCTTTCAAAGAACATCGTAAACCTGGTTACGTACTTGGATCACAGAGCCCGTTCTTTTCGTATTCACTGTTTACGTACAGACAAATTAATGTCAATCTTAATTTCTAACACGATATAAATTACTTGAGTTTCCAACATAATAACTCATTGATCGAGCCTTGACAGCTTGTGAAATTTACGCTTAGAACTTTCTACAAAATTCCTAATCAAAGGGGCCATTTCTACAACTCATACTGAATGGAAATCATCTTATAAAAATATTTACAAGGCTCTAAATCACTCGCGGGTTTACAGTCAGATGCTTTGTTCAATGACAACTAACCAATTTTAACATTAAAATGCATATAGAACAAAGTTAAACTATGATGAAGTAAGTAGAGCACCTGTACAGTATGCTGCAAATCAAACAGTTTTCTATTTAGGATCTCTTTATCTTACACAAATTTTATCTGTCAAACTTTAAAATTGTTTGATCAAACTTTGGAGAAATAAAGCATAATTATCCAACTTCCATTAGAGATAAAAAGGAATTAGAAAAGACATGACTGATTAAATCTGAAACCATGGATAAATTACAATCATACTTTAAGTCTAAAATCACAATAAATACAGTGAGTCAATTTTCATTTGCACTGTAAATACTGTAGATCCTCCACTTTACCTTGAATTTGGTTTCAAACAAAGGAAATATTAAAAACCACAAATAGAAAGTATAAAGACACTAGGTTTTTTTTTTTTTTGGGAACAAAGAAATATCCAGTCTAATTGCATACACAGGAATATAAAATGTTGTAGGCCTACTGTATACCTACAGTAGCTACCAATATCCTATATACTGTACAGTACTTTGTTTTCTTACCAAACTATGCATACAGTAGTATTATTAATTATTATATTATGCAATCCTTAACAAATTTCATGCTAGTTTCTTGCCCTATAAAAATCAACAATGTATTATTTTGCCTTAAACAAAATTTGTGTTAGTTCTTTCCTTTCAATTAATGTTTAGTTACATGGTTACAGTAATTCCTATCACCATTTCTACCAACCTCTATCAATAATATCTTGCCCTACCAATCTCCTTAGAGTTTAGTTGTCCATGACTCTTCAGGTCTGCATAAATTTGTTCATACATAAATAATATCTGACTGTATTCTGTTTAGAGGCTTTATGCCTGGTTCAATAAGAAAAATTAATCATAAGATTTAGATGACATAGTAATTTAAAATAAAGACAGAAAAGCAGGAACAGAAAGCATGATAAATTGGTTTTCTTTGAATCTTGTTTGTTTGTTTTATTACCAGCTAAATACACTTACATATATTTACATTACAACCAATCAATATGAATTTATACTTTAAAGTCAATTAATACAATAATTTACACAAAAAAAAACATTGACTGAAGAGCCACTTGACAGTATTTTTGGAGAGCCACTTGACAGTATTTTGGTATACTCTTGGTTATCCTGTCTTCCCGAGTTTGAAACTGTTTTGTGTGTTCAAATTAGACAAAATAAATGAAATGAAATGACTGAATTCCTAATGCACATTTACAGTATTCAGGCATAATAGTGCAAGAACAGCAGCATTATTAATCACAACTAAGAAAAAAACAAGTCAAAATCATGGATAAGCTCATTATTATTATTATACATTTTAGAAATTTAAAATCACTCAAGCAGAACTAAATTTTGGGAAATTCCATTATCAAACAATACTTGCCTTTTGTTGCTATTTATCGGCTATTTTTGCATTCGTATAAAAAAAATCTTCATTGGGTGGTTCTTAAATTCTGGTGCTTTCAACCTACATTGTCGTACTATAACCTCAAATAGGCATAGGATAGGTACTTTATTATATGAAAATCATTTTTCTGCAACAATATCTACTCCCTCTCATACATACTGAGTGTACAGTACAATAATAGGCTTGGTCCTAGGTAATGCCCCAGCCCCTATCTTTTAGGATCATGCCTATCCGGACTTGGAACTACACTTTTCATATCTTTTCATAATCATATTCTACATGTTTTTAGGTCTAGGCCTAGCCTTTTTCCTAGCTAGAGCCAGGGTCAAGCCTAAATAAAATATAGGCTTCATCATTCTTAAAAATTACTACGTACGACTACGTGTACGGTGTACCTAAAAGCTGAACAAAATGCTTTTGAATTCGAAATGTTCCGATATGAATTACTAATAATATTAATCGAGGTAGGCCATTGTTACGTCAATATAAAAACACGAGGTAAGACCACACAAACCAGCAAGTTTGCATGCAATTGAGAAACCAACCGATGCCCCGTCTGTGCGTGTGATAGCCTAGGCAATGGTTCAACGTTTGATTGATGGATTCTACGAGAACATCAGTCTATGGTTTGGCTGAACTCCTGCCTTGTGCGATCTCTCTCCGATTACTCTAACACAAGTAAAATATCTACACTGATGTAAATTTCAGTAAAATAAAAAGGATGTCAGTGAATATTTTGAATGAAAATAATTAATTTAAAATACTCACTTTGAACAAGAATTTCTATAAATTGTTAGGAGGGAACCCCTTCTCCTTCCGCAACATGCGCAATGCAATTGAGCAGGCGCAATGTATTTTTCATAGTGAGCCCTCTGGCGTTACATGATTTCGCAACCAATTTAGATTAAACCATTTTTTTATCCTACCATAATTTAGGCCTTAGATATGAAATGCTTTCCTGCGTTTACTAAAGATCGCTACATAATAAAATTAAGTTCATACCTCAATAGGTCAATTATTATGTTAACAGAAATAAACAAAATTTATAATTTTACAAAATACAAAGTCAGTTGTCTTTTCATCCAATAATCGATGCGTCCGGAGATTTCCAACATGGCAGCTTCCATGGATAACGTGACTTGTGGAGATTTTGCCCATTTTCAGGTCCGTATTCAAGTTATTAAATTGTTTTATGGAACTTGAACCCTTTAATTTATAGTTTTAAATCATTATGAATATTACTAAACTTATCATACTGGCATATCTTCATAAATTAACTGAATACATTGCATGTAGGCCTACAAGCAAAATATAGTACATATATATACACATATATTATATATATTATATATATATATATATATTATTATATTACTAAACTTATCATACTGGCATATCTTCATAAATTAACTGAATACATTGCATGTAGGCCTACAAGCAAAATATAGTACATATATATACACATATATTATATATATTATATATATATATATATATTATTATATTACTAAACTTATCATACTGGCATATCTTCATAAATTAACTGAATACATTGCATGTAGGCCTACAAGCAAAATATAGTACATATATATACACATATATTATATATATTATATATATATATATATATTATTATATTACTAAACTTATCATACTGGCATATCTTCATAAATTAACTGAATACATTGCATGTAGGCCTACAAGCAAAATATAGTACATATATATACACATATATTATATATATTATATATATATATATATATTATTATATTACTAAACTTATCATACTGGCATATCTTCATAAATTAACTGAATACATTGCATGTAGGCCTACAAGCAAAATATAGTACATATATATACACATATATTATATATATTATATATATATATATATATTATTATATTACTAAACTTATCATACTGGCATATCTTCATAAATTAACTGAATACATTGCATGTAGGCCTACAAGCAAAATATAGTACATATATATACACATATATTATATATATTATATATATATATATATATTATTATATTACTAAACTTATCATACTGGCATATCTTCATAAATTAACTGAATACATTGCATGTAGGCCTACAAGCAAAATATAGTACATATATATACACATATATTATATATATTATATATATATATATATATTATTATATTACTAAACTTATCATACTGGCATATCTTCATAAATTAACTGAATACATTGCATGTAGGCCTACAAGCAAAATATAGTACATATATATACACATATATTATATATATTATATATATATATATATATTATTATATTACTAAACTTATCATACTGGCATATCTTCATAAATTAACTGAATACATTGCATGTAGGCCTACAAGCAAAATATAGTACATATATATACACATATATTATATATATTATATATATATATATATATATTATTATATTACTAAACTTATCATACTGGCATATCTTCATAAATTAACTGAATGCATTGCATGTAGGCCTACAAGCAAAATATAGTACATATATATATATATATACACACACATATAAATATACATATATATATACACATATATATATTATATATTATATATATATATTATTATATTACTAAACATATAATACTGGCATATCTTCATAAATTAACTGAATACACTGCATGTAGGCCTACAAGCAAAACATAGTACTGTACATGAAAATGCCACAAATTGTAAAAGTATGTTGTTAATAAAAACACAACAATATGATAGAAAGTTTGATTTTGATAAGTAATAATATGTTGTTAATGAAAACAAAACAAAACGAAAATAACTAGGCACATAAATAACTAGGCATATATAACTATACACATATATATTATATATATAAGCAAAATATAGTACATATATATATACACATATATATACATATATATATACATATTATATATATATATATATATATTATAATAATACTAAACTTATAATACTGGCATATTTCATAAATTAACTGAATACATTGCATGTAGGCCTACAAGCAAAATATAGTACATATATATACACATATATTATATATATTATATATATATATATATATATTATTATATTACTAAACTTATCATACTGGCATATCTTCATAAATTAACTGAATGCATTGCATGTAGGCCTACAAGCAAAATATAGTACATATATATATATATATACACACACATATAAATATACATATATATATACACATATATATATTATATATTATATATATATATTATTATATTACTAAACATATAATACTGGCATATCTTCATAAATTAACTGAATACACTGCATGTAGGCCTACAAGCAAAACATAGTACTGTACATGAAAATGCCACAAATTGTAAAAGTATGTTGTTAATAAAAACACAACAATATGATAAAAAGTTTGATTTTGATAAGTAATAATATTATGTTAATGAAAACAAAACAAAACGAAAATAACTAGGCCTAGTAAATAACCCCGATGTACTTTCGCAACTGCTTCGGCGCTCCATATATTTGTTAGAAATAGACCGCGACCGAAACGAAGCGCGACCGAAACGAAGCGCGACCGAAATGATCGGCTACCGGTGGTCCGGCTATCTTGGCCTGGGCCAGGTACAGCCTAATGGTGTTTGCCTGGCCTCAAGTGCAAGCCTACTAAGGGCTATAATAGCGCTGTGTGACCATCTAAGTAAGAGCGCTTTATGAATGTTCTATTTTATTATTATTATTACCAGTGTCACCGTTTGTGATTCTGAAGCCGCCGGGTCAGTGGTGCTGGTGACGCCAGCCCTGTGGTGTGGTGTAAGGAACAGGGGACTCCACAAGTCTGGGGTCCCAAGTTGGAAGAAGTCATTTAACTTCCAGGAGATCTAGTTACTTCAGCTTTTTTAACACGTCCAACTTTATTTTGCTGCACATAGTGGTACCCATCGGCACTGTTTTCTGTGAGACAACCGGACTACAGTATATAGTAAGGCCTTCTTGGGGAATATATCCGCCCCACAAAATTTGGCCAAGATATCTGTCCGCGCATTTGGGAAAATAAGGGCCAATTTACGCGCAGATTTTGACGAAAATTAGGCCTTGAATAAATGTCAAAACATAACCAATGTAATTATGCAGCAATTATGATTTCGTGCACCTATTTTCCTAGCAATATTCCGTTCAAATTTGAGCTGATTTTTGAGATATACTCCGTGCAATTAAAAAACTTTACAGTATGGTGAGACAATTGATAGTAACACACCCCAACCAATGGTGGGCTTGAGGTGGGTGTGCCCTTTATCTCCGAAAGTCTTTCCCTGGGCCCCCTCTATTTCAAATTCCCGTCTGCCTCTGTTCTTGTTGTCTGTAAAGCTGATTAAGGTGACCATTGGTTTTTTTCAGGACGCGCTTAAAGTTGTGCGTATGATAGATGATAAAATTATTTATGCACTTAACACATCCGTACCCACCACTTCATTTAAAGGACAGATCAATGCAACTGAAAAATGTAAACAGCTCTATGAAGAGGTAAGAAATCATCACTTAATTAAGCAACTAGCCAACCTCGACATCACACTGACTGTTTAATGGGCCTTGATTAGATCCTACAAAAAAACAGTGTAAAAACATACGCAAACATGTGCATTTGTGGGACAAGACGTGTGATAGTAGACGCGCATATTTCTGGCCCTGTTCTGATTGGTCAGTTGTTAGTTTTGATTGACACTCCTAAAAGGTCACATGGTCCTGACCTCAGCTCATCTGTTATTTTTTTCAATATATTTAAATGCTTATGATGTGCTATAAAATATGTAACTTATACTTATGTCTTTATTTTAAATACATTTGATAATTTCATCATACATTAGCTGATGAGTGCTTATGACACTAGGGATAGAGCTATAAAAAGGTGCATTCGAGAGGTGTCTGCTTCAGTAAACACACAACGATCAGCTAGAGAGAAATCTCCTGATGATTTCCAGATTATTAAAGACCTACGAAAAGAGCAAACTAAGGTAATATGTTCCATGATTTTCAGTTAAGATAATACATTATTTATATGCGATGACTTTATTATCAAAGTCAAACAATTCTCATTCTGTCAAATGACATAACACAAACTGCTGGGCCCTGGAGGATAACAATGTTTTTTACACTGATCAGGTCAACCAGGGTAAAGAAGAAATAAATAAAAAATTTAAAAAAAAATCAGGATTCAGAGATCCCAAGTCTCCTGCAAGAGTTTCTAAAAAAATCAGGACAGATTCCTGCACATTCAAGAGCAAGCAAATCCCTCTGAAAACTACCCAACTCCTGCAAATTCATGATGTTTGCTTGTTTTTATCAATTGTCTTCCTAAATGGATATCACCATGTGCAGAAAAATTGAATTAGATGTGCTGAGAAAACTCATTCAACCAGATCTATTGGAAAATGGCTTCTCCCAATTTGAGATGTTTGTGGTTCAACTTTCCTGATACCAAATATTTACTAAGTGTTTCCATATCATTTATTTATTGATGTAACTAGTATGTTTTTTTCTTGTACTTGTTGAATGTAGTTACGACTCCTTCAGTCAGAATTGAGTATTGAAGAAGTTGTTAAAGACCGGTCACTTAAGGTAAACAGATTCTTTTAATCATTGTTGGAGATATTATAATGAGGTTACAAATGCAAACTTACCTGCTGTGAAATCGGTAGCAGAGATTTTATAAGTAGGGATAAAGTAAACAGAATCAAGCAATTCATGAAGGTTAAACCAAGTAAAATGTGATCTATTAAAAAGAAATTATGCGAAAGGTCTTTCTTTAAGAGCTTAGGTGTTTATTTATTAGTTAAGATTTATTAATTCGTATCACTAAGCTAAAAAGTAGTATAGAGAAAATTTCAAGATGTGTTTTGCTTTATATATATTTAATGCTCAATAATTTATTTCTATAGGTGTTTCATGAACGATGTCGCAACCACTACATCCCACCAACTCAGAAGGATCGCTTATGACATTTTAAAGAGCAATATACAGTACCACAGGCTTGAAAGATAGAAACGCCAGAAGGCCTACACCTCAGTCCCAACCATGGTTGGGGCGGAGGCAAGAATAATTTTGATTATAGCACCCCTAGATTGCCAGAAATGTTACTCGGACTTAAATTTGAATATAATTTTGAAAAATTTAGGGGACCCCTTGAATCCACCAGTAACAGTAACTACATTTTTAAGATCCATGGTTATCAAATTTATGAATATTTTAGTAACAAAGATGCAAAAAGAAAATCTGACTATATTTTAAAATTGTTATCTTTGGGCAACACAATATGTTTTTGGCCTTATTGTATTTTATTATGGCCAATTATCGATTTCATGTTATTTTTATTTGTTTTATGATAAGTGAAATAAATCGAATTGAATACGTTATTTGCATTGTTCTAATTATCTTCTGTTGAGTGTTGATCTGTATTGCTTTTTTTTAAATTTGACAAACGTTCTGTATTTCTGCAACTTTAGAAAGGTATTCCATAATGTAAATAATCCTCACTTGTCAGTGCAGTAGGCGTCTTTGTAACTCCTGCAGCAGCAACTCCGCGTCCTACACCTGTTCTTGGAAACATGCATCCCATCCTTTATTTTGTAAATAATTTTATATCGTATATTGTATGATAGTTTACCAGATAATGGTCCTTAATGGCATATTGAAGCTTCTAGATTTAATGTTTGTGTTCTATAGTCACTGATAAAAACTGTACACTGAGCCTTTGGTTTGTGTGTTAAAAATGTGCAGAACTGGAATAATGCCCTTTTTATGGACCGCTGTAACGTAAAAGATATACTTTCAACGTCGTTTTGTTATACATCACAACATTTAATTGGTATACTGTAATATTTAAAACATCTATAGGCCTAGATATATTATTCTTCAGTAGGCCTACAATTATTATAATTAAAAACGTAATTCTATACATCATTACAATATAATACAATATAATAATGACCTATGCCTCTATCCCAACCACTGAACATTATATTATATATTATATAATTAAAATAAACAACCATTGTATGCTGTGGTGGCATTAAGGAAATCATTGAATTCGATGTAGATGTTTCAATGAAACATGCATCCCATATTCTGTACCCCTTGCATATAACCTGCCACTGAACCCTTCATCGTCCTGCCGCTTATAAATCAAGTGCTTAATATTTAGGCCCAATGATTATTTATGCAATACAGACGAATTTATTATTGCAGTTGCATACCGATAATTTTGTAAATAATTTTATATAGTATATTATATGAAAGTTTACCAGATAATGGCCCTTAATGGCATATCGAAGCATCTAGATTTTTCAATATTTGTGTTCTGTAGTCAATGTACAGAACGGAAATAATGCCTTTTTTATACGTAAAAGATATATTTTCAACGTTGTTTGTTACACATCACAACAATTAATTGGTATAATATAATATTTTTAAAAACATCTATAGGCCTAGATAATTTATTCTTCAGTAGGCCTACAATTAATATAGTAATAATTAAAAACATAATTCTATACATCATTACAATATAATAATGACCTTTGCATCTATCCCAACACCTAAACAACATTATAGATTATATAATTAAAATAATAGTGTGTGCTGTGGTGGTATTAATAAAATCATTGAATTCGATGTAGTAGATGTTTCAATGCGCTACGAACGAAAGAATTGCCAACGAACTCCGTGTTTCGAAGGAACCGCTGCTATGCCACCAGATTTTTTGAAGTAACTACGCTTTCATTACTTGTGACTAAACATCAATCCACCTTCCAGGTGCCCCAGAAAATGAAAATCGCTGTAACTAGTCGCTTTAATTCTGACATTTTAGCCATCAACAGTTGTGGGTGTATCTTCAGAAATTAGTGCTCTCAGAAGCTACGTTCTCGTAGCTCTCTTCTATTTGCGAATTCATAACAGGTTTGTCTTTATTTCCATCGTCTTGAGAGTATCCGGTGTTGTCTAGGCCTCCTGCATACGATTCCCGCCTGATATGATTTGGAACTGTGTCAAATTGTTTAGTGTTGCCATTCAATCCTGTAAATTGAAAAATACAACCATGGTAATAATAATAATCACTTTTGCCTAATGTATAAATGGTTTAGTATATAGTTCCGTCTACAATAAATAGAATAATTTAGCTATCATTTAATCAGCGGTAAAAGGGGATTAGAGGATTCAGCATCTCCTAGTCTTGGGTGAAAGGCTATGCAGCATAATGGAACATTACGTATATTCTTAAAATTAATCTCAAATATAGGAGAGATAATTAGAAGATGCAATTTTATATCGTCGATATTTTTTCTGGTTTTTTTTTTAAGACACCAATTTTCAATCATTGATAACATTTTGCATGAGCTTACAACAACTTATCGGAATTTTTGATTTGTAGTCTTTTGTTGAAAAGTACAATAATTGCCAGGCTACAAGTTCACAGTCCACATTATCTTAAATCTCTGAGGACATCACTTCATCCTGGACTCTTAATCCACTTTAAATCTTCTCTAATCATCACGTTTAATCCACTGATCACGTTTTAATCTTGTGAACCGGTGCTAGGATTAATGATAAGTTTGTTAACCTTTCCAGAAGAATGTTACTAGAAATACATAGGCCTATTTTTAATTTTGTACTCACCAGTTTCCACTTCTACAACGTTAACCCATCCATGACCATATGCCGTTAATGGGTAGGCCGCTTCACCGTGCTTTGCTATGTCTAGGCCTTCGAAAACGAATGAGAAATTGTTTTGAAAACACAATTAAAGAAGGATACCGGTAGAATTTAAAAGAATTTGAATATTTATTGTGATTTTCTTTAAAAAAGCAAATATTACAAGGACATATAACACTAATATCAGATTTATTAGATTTAGGCGGCATAGGATACAAGCCTAAGCACTTACTTGTCATGGGCTTTAAAATTAATAAAAGTTTACTAAAGGAGTCGGATTATATAGACCGACAGTTATATGCCATTAAAATACTTACTAATGCCATGATGAAAGACCATGTTATTAATAGAAAGTTAATAAAGTTTACCTTTTTCCTCAATTAAACTGCTAACTCTGAGAATGCCTACAGCACGCATAACCCCAAACATCAGCAAAGATGTAACTAGAGACCAAGCAAAAATGGAAATGGATCCGATGATGTTCCACAGCAATTGCTAGTTAAAATACAGCAAAACCATCGTTACAAAAGAAATTAACAAAACTTCAAATGTTTAGGTAATGAAACTGTATTTATTGCGGTGCGTTTGTTTTGTATATGGCCTAAGGGCCATTTCCATCCTACCACGTTTTCTTTAATGTTTAAAGGGAGTCGAGTGGCCATGTCGTTAAGCAATGTTGGGTTCAACACTAATTTGAGACCTTCCTCATTCATGTTCGTGTGTAGAGTCAGACTATGGGAGCCAAATCTATGATAGGGATAATAAAACATAGGGCCAACGTTTACTAAACCGTGCGCCGATTGGCAATAAACTGACACGGGACCCAATGGAAGTAAAAAGTTGTACGGTATGAACGAGTTCGTTTAAGCACCTCGTAAATGCAAGGAAAAGGAGGTATATGAATGCCTCCGTAACATAACATAAATGTATGTTTTGTTACTTCAAAGTCGTTGATTTCGTATTTTTAATGTTCCTTACCAAGAAAGAGTCCGAGTCGCCCGCGTAGACGATACCAGTGTCCCTTGCGAACACTGTGACGGCGATGATGCCCCAGAAACCGCCTCCCATATGAACTGAAAGAGTGAGACAACCGAGTCACATCTATTGAACTTTAAATCGGTATTCTCGTATTTACGTAATTTATGACTGATTATGTGATATACGAGCCTCAAATCCCATGGACTGTTATTTCACTAATCCATCGTCTTCCTATCTATGAGTTTTAATTTATAGCTGGTCGTGATCATCAAACACCTATGGAACACATTCCATAACGTTGCAAGTTTGTGATCATATCATCGTATTGACGTTAGAGCCACGAGAACGACTTTTGTTCCCAGGTGGATAGAGATAACGGTACGGTACTTAAAGTTCCTTGCCCAAGATTAAGACCAAACGCAGTGTACGAGCTGGGTTTGAGCCCCCGACCTCTCAAGGCTGAGATTTCGAACCATTGCACCAGCCCCTCCCACTTATCACACTCCATGTATAGTTTATTTGGATATAGTAATTGTATTAATTTAAAAAAAAAAAGATATATACCGTACCAGCCACAGCATCAAGTGGATCATCAATTTTGAATTTAAGCATCAAGTTGCTGACTACAATGAATACCATTCCAGCAACGAATCCGATGACGAACGCACCCCATGGTTCTACTACGTCACAGCCGGCACAGATAGCAACCTATTACGAACAATGTGTATCTTGGTTTAAATTTTTCATAAAATACATAATACTACTAATATTACAGCTGCAGAAATCTGGCTACCTAGACCATGGATCACCTCATGTAAACTACAGTATTTTGGTAGCTTAGTATCCAACTCGTTATAATTTGTCATCGCTCTTTTTAGGAGTTTTTTTTTTTTTGTAGTTTTTCTATTCAGAATAATACTCTCGACAAGACAACCTTTAAATTGGGGAAGAATAATTGCATAAGAAATAACCGTGAGGTTCTCTTTTGGAACGTACCGGTATGGTTTTGTTCTTTCAATTTTGGTATTCAGCATCAATTACGCTACCAGATGATCACGCCATCGTATACTGGGATTCAATATTTTGATTCTTCATTGGGACCTTCAGACCGGTACGTGTATTTCTTACATAGTAAAATTTCTTATATAGTAAAATATCATTTGCAAGGATTACCATTCCTGTTAGACCTCCATTGATCGTTGTCAGTAGACTCCAAAGGTTGCCTTTGTAAAGCACTAACTTAATGAACAGCGCACATAGGGCGCCGACTCCACCAGACAATACGGTATTCACGATTGATTCAGCAACTACTACGCCATCACCTGCATTCGAAATGCTTCCCTGAGATCCGCCGTTGAATCCGAGGAATCCAAAAAACAGAATGAATCCTCCCAAGGCTACAAGCTATGATATAAGAAAAATTACTTATGAAGTAGGAATGTTTTGTTCAACTTGACGTGCTCAGGACGTTTTCAAATTCTCCCACAACGGCAAGTGATTCTGGTGGGAATCGAACCCAAGACTTCCGATAATTATACTGTATTATAACCACCCGGGAACTGATATTACACTTGGTGACTAGGGTTAAATTTGATCCCCAAGTAGCAGGACATAAACCTGGCAAATACATGCCAGAATGGGCAAAACATCATTCATATGGAGTTTCTTCGACGAGACACCTTTCGAAATGAAATAGTTTACAAGTATAATAAATTTCAGTAGGAGGTCCATGGTCGAACTGATCGAACCCATCTTGCTTCCTTTCGCTCAAATAGCTGAAAAAAATCTGAATCGCATCATTTTGAGTTAATCATTTTGAGTAAATTAGTTTGTTGCTGTAGTTGCTTTTTGCTTACAGATTCATAAGGGATGATTTTATTTAATTGTTTTGGTTTAGCAGGCTAACATGGCCTACACTACTGTATCAGTTCAATAATAGACAGTAGTGCAAAGAATTTCTCTAGTAGTATTAAATGAGATAATTGACAGGAACCAATGTAAACGTACCGGAACAGTGTGCCCGTGGATTGGTATTACTTTACCGTTATCATCGAAACGTCCGATACGTGGACCAAGCATCGCTGCACCGATTAGAGCCACAGAACCGCCCAATATATGAACAACTGCACTTCCCGCGAAATCCTTAAACATAATATAAAAGTTTAAAAGTTTACTGAGAAGAATAGTTTAATTATCATAGAAAACTGATCAAAGCGGCCCACACGTATCAGTGAAACAATAGGATAATACCTACATAGAAAAAACACTATCTTAAAAGATCAGCACAATCAAAACTAGATATACAACTTTAAAAACAACCATCAAAATAGGTTATAAAATCAAGCTACACAATGATATTAAAATAAATTAAACCATAAAAAAGGATTAAGTTAAAAATTGTCAATTGTGATCATGAGATCGAGTTAATGACACCTCCCTTCCCCGGAGAACAGTTTAATTATCATAGAAAACTGATCAAAGCGGCTCACACGTATCAGTGAAACGACACTACATAGAAAAAACAATCGTTACAAGAAAACAACAGGAAAGATCTTAAAAGATAGCACAATCGAGTTAATGACATCTCCCTTTCTCGAAGAATGATCATTACCTTCGGATTATCGGATTACAAGGTAAAATCCATCTATTCTCTGCAACGTCGGCATTTTACGGCAATAATCGTTGCCTTTATATCTATTTCATCCATCCTTTGTGTGTGTCCTTCTAAACTACAAACTGACGACTATTATAACAGTACTGTAGTGGTTTGTGATGAAACGAATCACATCGCATAGGATAAGAGCAGGCTCCTAAAGCCTACCCACATGCCTAGAAGCTTTGAATCGTATAGGCCTACAACTCCACAACCCCGTACAAACCAACATCAGACAGTAACAAAATATATAGAAGGTAACTGCAAGCAATATTGATTCAATTTAACTTTATTTGTTCATCTTCATGCAACTATTGAATTATCACGATGGCTTTCATCATTCTTCAAAGTATTTTAGTCACTTAAAGATGAGTTGTTGTTTTTTTTATCCACCCTTAAAATGAAACCTAGTTTCGAGAGGAAGAGTTCGGTAAAATAGATGTCAAGATCAAATGTCTACCTGAAATCCAATGTGTTCGTTGTTTGGCATTTCTGTCAACCATCCGTCATCAGACCATGCCCAATGCGTCACAACAGGATAAATAAAGCCTGTCATTGGAAAAATTTTCCAAATATTGAAATATACACAAAATCTGCATTTATAAATTAGGGACCATGATCTTTGTACCAGTTCTTTGTCAAGTAACTGTAGACCTCGTTTTAGATCAAAGAACAAAATACTGGAAAACAGCAATGCTGTGGGAAACGATGGCTGTTTTTTCTTGGCCGAAACAAGTCGTTAACTGTGTGTTGAGCCATGCCGAATGACAGATGAGGTGAACAGGTAATATGCATTTCTATTTATTACCTTTTATTATTTTTTTTTAATTTTTTTTAAAGGCGAGACTGTTGTTAGTATGAAAATGTGTGAACAGAGAATTTAAGATAAAACGAGAAGGTACAAAGAACGACAACAAAGATGGCAGACGGCAAAGATGAGAACTAAAAATTAACCTGTCAGAATTACACTGTAGACGAGATAAGCTACAAACTCCGTCCTCTCCGCCATTGAACCAGAGACGATCGTAGCGGCCGTGGCAGCGAAGACAAACTGAAAGAACCAATCGTCAACTTGTTCAGTGGGCATGTTTTTCATGAAGAACCAATCAGTACCGATAAATTTGTTACCAGGGCCATAAGCGAACGCGTAGCCAACAGCCCAGTAAAATACACTCCCAATACCTGAAAAGAGAACACATTCAATTTCATTGGCTTATTTATTTCAGTATGTATGTATGTATGTATGTATGTATGTATATATATATATATATA